GATGGCATTTGAGGTCCACCACAGTAAGGATCGTAGCACCGGGCTCGGCCGTTGCAGACGGACGAGGGATGTGTTGCGTTGGGCTTTTTGGAAGGGCAGCAGAAGCCACTGAAGTTCGCTGCTATGTAAGCGAGACCACGGTGTGATTCCAAACGTAGACACCATCTTGCCCAATAGACGGGATAGCTCTAGGACCGTCACTGAACCAGTGGACAGACATTTGTGCACTAAGGAACTAAGGCTATCCTGACAGTCGGGTGACGAAGACCATGGACAATTTCGTGTCAATAAGTGCCCCCAAATGTAGGATATGGGTGGATGGGGAGAGGTGACTTTTGGGCCAATTAATAGAGAATCCGTGGCTTTGCAGAGTGGAGAGAACCGTGGAGAGGTCTCTATGTGCCTCAGAAGGGGAAGATGAGAGAATTAGAATGTCGTCTAAATAATAGATAAATAAAATAAAATTGGATTCGGATAGAGTGAGAACGAAGATGGCCAATAAGGGCTGCCATAAACTTCGTAAACACCCTGGTAGCTGAGGAAAGGCCAAAGGGAAGGGCCTTGTATTGGTAATGTTGTCCCAGAAAACAGAAACGAAGGAATTGTCGGTGAGCGGGCAATACGGGCACATGGAGGTAAGCCTCCGTTAGATCTATGGAGGAAAGATAATCCCCCGGACGGACCGAGAAAAGGGATTGCATCTTGAACCGGCGATAGATTATATACCGGTTCAATGATTTGAGATCTAATATGGCCCTCCACCTGCCAGAAGACTTCTTTACGATGAATAGGCAGGAGTAGAACCCCTGGCCCTGTTGGAACTGGGGGATCGGCTGAATGGCCTCGATTTGAAGCAGGTGGTCAATGGCAGCAGAAACTAGTTCCCGTTTGGATCTGTTGTAGGATACAGGACATGGGAGAAAACGGGGAGGAGGGAGGGAAAGGAATTCTAAAGAAAGCCCAGAAGAAATGGTGCGCAAGACACAGGAGTCCTCGGTGGAGGACTCCCATTGTGTGGAAAAGAGGGACAGTCGACCACCAATGGGAGGGGAGGAGGGAAGTCTATCTGGGTCTCCTGTAGAAACGCCCCCCGCCCCCCACGATAGGAACGCTTGGGTGGAACCTAGTCCCTTGTCTGACCTGAGAGTCTTGGTGAGATCTGGAAGCAAAGGGCCGTTGAAAACGAGGCTGGAAGGATGACGAATCGGAGGCTCGAAAGGACTGGTACTGTGAGGACGCCAAATAACGTGAGTCACCACATCTGGAGGCTGTGGGAAGGACCTTGCATCTATCCCTTGTCTCAATGAGGAGAGGATCCAATGACGGGCCGAAGAGGTTGCCAACGGAGTATGGTGCGAGTTGCCATTTGCTTCGCATGTCCGCCTGCCAATTGCGGAGCCACAAGAGCCGGGGTGAGGCAACGGTGGAACCAAGTGATCTTGCCAAAAATCTAGTGGCGTTGAGCATTGCGTCCGCTGAATATTCCAAGGCAGCCGAGATTTTGTTCAGGTCCTGGTGGGATCTGGCGTCGGATAGAGGAAGGCAACCCTGGAGCTGCTTAAGCCAGATCAAAGCCGCCCTGTTGAAAAACGACACCGATGTGGATGCCTTGATAGACCAGGCAGTAGCCATGTGGCCCTTGAGCAGCGTCTTCTCAGCTCGCTTGTCCTCTGGTTGGAGCGAATCCTCGGCTGGACCCGTAGGATGTGTAGTGTTGGTGAGGGCCACAATGGGAGGATCCACCATGGGGGGTTGGAGAAGATCTGCCAGAGGGGCCGCCGAATTGTAAAGGCGCTTGTCTAATCCGTTGGGACTGGGCCCTACCCCCGGAAGGGACCATTGACACTGGAGCACGTCAGTAAACAGCTTTGGGGCAGGTATTGTCTCAGGATCGATGGTAGGTTCCGCAAACATGGCCATTGCGGGGTCGCTAAACGAGAAGGTAACAGCCGAGGATGGAGGTTCTCCCAAGTGAGTAGTGGTGATACCCTTGAACAGGAGTGAACGGAAAACCTGAGGCCTGAAAAGGCCTATGAACAAAGGCTGGTCTGAACTTAAGCCTTCATCATCAGACCAGGCCTGTTTGTGGGAGTCGTCGACCTCGGAGCCTGAAACCTGGTCAGCTGAGGATTGGTATTCGATCCTGTTCTGAAAAGGAATCCTCCAGATCCCTGGGCTGGACCTGTTGGGAGGAGCCTGGAGATGTGGGTACAGTGTCCTGAGAAGGCACTGAGCCAGGCTCTGTCTGATTGCCCTAGTTATGATAGCCTCCAATGAATCCACCATGACAGGAGGCGGGGGGGCTGAGCTGGTGATGGAACTGAGGCAGGAGCTGTTGCAGGATCCTGTTGCTGCAATGAGGGAACAGGATCAGGAAGTGTCTGGAACAGTAGTTGGCTGTCTGGAGCTAGGACAAAGGAGGCCGCAGCTGAAATGTCAGGGGATAATTCCCGCGCTGACCTGGTTGATTCTATGCCAGGCTTGCTGGCAGTAGAAGGCCTGGCAGTAGAAGGCCTGGATCTAAGGCCAGGATCGTTGGGCCTGAGCTTTGAGGAAGGCCTTTTCAATGTGTCTCCTTTGATCCTCCTTAGAGGATGAGGAGAGGGAGGTAGCCAAGGTGGTCTTCTTTCCCCTGGCCTTTTTAGCCAGGGGAGGCAAGGCAGAGGCACCCTCTAGAGCAGTGGTTCTCAACCTGTGGGTCGGGACCCCTTTGGGGGTCGAACGACCTTTTCACAGGGGTCACCTAAGACCATCGGAAAATACATATTTTCAATGGTTTTAGGAATAATTTTATGGTTGGGGGTCACCACAACATGAGGAACTGTATTAAAGGGTCGCAGCATTAGGAAGGTTGAGAACCACTGCTCTAGAGGGTCCCTGAGGCGTTCTGCCTGCGTCTCCCTGAGGCATTCTGGCGCGCCACAGAACCTGACCACATGGCGGCCACCATCTTGAAACCGGCCCAATGAGCTAGCGCGGCCAAAAAATTCTGAGGCGGCTGCAGGAATCGCTGCCTGACCTGATTCGTCCTGATGTGAGGTGTGGGTCCGGAAAATCGCTAGCCCTCCGGCTATTAGCGCAACTGGAGCTCTCGGTGAGACTCCACTCGAGCCGAGGCGGGCTGCTAGGCAAAGGCCTTTGAATTGCAGCCAAGCTCCCCCGATCTTCCTGGGAACTGCAAAGGGACAGGCGGAGCCTGTTGAGTGTATCTGCCAGCTGGCAGATACAAGCCGATCCCGGCTGTCTAGAAGCGTTCAATTGAAGTTGTGAGGGAAACTCGGAAGACACATCCTCCAGCCTAGACCGAGTCGAACAACTGGGGAAGGCCAGGAGGACGGAGCCAGTTTGATTGGCAGACTTGGTCCTATGCATTAGACGGAGCATCTACCCAGCCTGACTGCCATTTCCCTCCTATCAGAAGAATATGTATTAATAGAACTTTATGCCAGAACAGAAGGCAGATAGTTTAGCATTAGTCAAATTTGCTGGAGGTCTTTATTTCATATTCCGCCGTGTCCTTAAAACTTTATTTTTTCATCAAGCCGGGCTGACTTAACATATTTTTAAATTTTAAATTTGTTTGTCATTTTAAACTGGGGCCAAATTAATATATATTCTTTTAATTGTTCTTAATGTTTGTATTGTATGTTTTTATCTGGCTGTACACCGCCCTGAGTCCCTTGGGAGAAGGTGCGGTATATAAATTTGAAATAAAATAAATAAAATAAAAATAAATATAATAAAGTGCAAGAGCTACAGCATGATATATTGAGTGCCACATTCAGAAAGTGGCCAGGATCTTTTTGGGAAGGAGACTAAGAGGTAAACCTTATCATAAACCTCAAATCATTTAAAGCACTCATTTTGCCCTCTAACAACTTCCAGAACAGCTCATTTTTTCTGTTTTCTACAGATGGGGAACATTTTAGAATCCATTGTTGTATATTATTTTTGTGCAACTTGCCTGGGGTGATTGCTTCCAGTACTTTTTTTCCCATTTACCAAGATCATGTGAGCCAGAATTGCCATTGATATTACTGATACAGAAAACAACTCCATTAAGATTAATCTTCATATTCTAATTGCCTTCTACATAGTTATCTCATCATATTTCATAGTTGAAGTATCTGTGTGGAAGAGCTTTGATTTCCTGATCAGGGAGTTTCTAGATAGGATCAGGGAGAATAGAGCTTTTATTCCTGAAGATAAAACAGCCATGATCTGAGCAGACAATTTGTGCAGGATAAAGTGTCTTGTACTTTAATAGGATGGAATATCTGAACCCATTGCTGTTCAGACTGTTAACAACTTTATTCCAACATTCTACATTAATTATACTACTTTAAGAAATGATGAGGAAAATCTAAGCATCTCCAATAAAAAATAAGTTAAATTTCTAATGGCACTATGGACTATAGCAAAGTTTCTTCTAAATGTAACAGGACAAGAAGTAACATAATACAGCAATAGACAATTCTTTTAACAGGCCTGCTTGAGTCTTAATACCCTTTCTATGAATGGAACAGACTTTGTAAAACAAAAGATTTTCCAATTATCTTCTCTACAGCTCCCATTACCCAAAATGTTTCAGGCCTGGAAGATCTTTAGAATTGGTACAAAAGTCTCAAGGGAGAAAGATTGATAGAACTAGCCAGCCCTAAAAATGATACAGAAATATCACTTACATTTTATGCTAATAATTCAGTATATATGAATTTAAGTGATGCATAATTTTTATGTTGAAACTAATTTGTTTCATCAAGTCAGAATCAATAAATTTTCTAGATTTGAAATCCTTGTTTGGTGCCATGGAGTATTTACTATATGTAGGGTATGAACCCAGTTTCTTTTAGACTTATATAAAGCTGGATATACATACTGAAGATGTTTATTGATCAACAATACTTTTAAACTGGAGGTTATTCAATTTATACATTTAACTTTGTATTAAAGCTATTATATCTTAAAAATATGTATGATAAACACAAAAATAAACCTACCTACTGATACTGATTCAGTTTTATTTTTTGCTGATCGCTTGGTTCTTTCAACAGTTGATGATGGGCTATTAAAGGTATCTTTGTAGAAGTATCGGTAGGTTAAGCCTGGAAAACCCTCTTTTTTAAGCCATTTTACCATCGGTGTTTTTAGAAGTGACATTTCAAGTCCTGTCTGAATAAAATACTTCTTTTTAACTCTCTCTGAAGATGGCAACAGATATCGTAACGTTTTTTTCACTTGGATTAATTGCTGTTTTTGATATTTCCTTGAGCTAAAAAAGTCTTGCTTCATACATATTGTAATTGTTAGAAACTTAAGATTTATTATGGAAAAATGCATATAGCAATTTTTGAACAAAGTGCCCATTTCATTTTCTCCAAATTTTCTCTCTTTTCTAGCTCTGACAATATTGCCCCATTTTTGTATTAAATGTTTGTTTCTATAAATTTTTGTTTGAAATACAGGGATTTTTTTCCTTTGAATGTTAAACATCTTTTTATGAGTTGAGTATACCTTTTGTATGTGTCTGTTTCTTTGGTAAGTGAATAAATATCTGAATTGAAGCTTCTGATTTGCATAAATTGATTTTTTACTTCTTGTTTTCCATTTCCACATCTTAATTTTTTCTTTAATATTTTTTTCCTGTTGTAAACTTTTAAATCCTATATATTTTTTTCTTTCTCTATTAAGTATTTTCTGTTGATCAGAAACTATTCTGTGCAAATTTTTATTGTACTCATTTGTAATCACTTTACAAAATTTTTCTTTCACAGAAGCTAAAAGTCTATCAATACTATTTTTACATTTTTCCTTTAAAATGTTTGCTTCAATATGATCTCCTTTATGTTGCTTTGTAAATTTTAGCATAATGCTTTCCAAGCTTTTCTGACTTTTTTGCAACAGTTCTTCACTTCTTAATATATTTGCTTGATGTTCCATATAACTCATGGGTGATCTGGTTTTCATGTATTTACATCCATTTTCAAAATACGATGCATGTGATTTGTTATCTTCAAATTTCTTTCTCACATTAATATACCAATTCATCTTTACTTTACAATCTTTAAGATTTGTATTTATCAACATACGGAGTCTCCTTAAATAATTTATTTCCATTAAAATGTTACTAAATGTTACTAATTGCTTTTTTGAAATTTGAATGGTTTTTTTGACTCCAACTAAATTTAGATTTATTTTAAACTGAACTGCATATCTTAGTTGATGGTTCTTAATGGCATTTTTGCCATGAATTTTGAAATTCATTCTGAAGCTTTTGTAATTTCTGTTGTCCTTTTTCAGCGTAGACTGTTCTGGGATTCTATTCACTGATGTTTTGTATGAATCATTATCAGATGCTATTAATAATTGTTGATACTCTTTTAAATGCCCTGCAACAAAGCAAATAACCCTAGTTTAATTAAATATTTCAAATCACATTATCATAAAGTCAGGATTGTATTCCAAGACCTGCTTTAATAATAGTAATAATTTTGGACAAGATAGCTCCCTTATAAGGCATGTATACTATATACCAACAAAATTTTCAGAGATTTTTAATGTTATTAATTAGATTAACTTGCTTAAGTTTAAAATTGTAATTATAAAAAGCAATTTGGATGATGTCTGTGGGAATGATATGGAGTGATGCATCCATCCTTCTTTTTTTTTTTGTAAATATATTTTTTTATTTATTTTTTCAAATTTAAACATAAAAACATAACTTTCAAGAGCAAAAATCTCGATCCGGTCATAGATGGTTACCACGCTTACATTCCTTTCACAAGCTCAATTCACAATTTCCATTACATCTTTTATAAATAAACAAAAAAAGAAAAAAAAGAAAAAAAAGAAAAAAAAGAAGATAAAAAAGAAATTCAAAACTTAAGAAAAAAACCAATTTTACCTCAAATTTAACATTTTCATCTATATAAATCCATTATATCTATCCAAAATTAGTTTCAAATTCACTTTCACTCATTTTTACATCTGCATAACAATTCTAAACATATCTTTATTCTTCTTTACCTTATATCTTATACAAGTCATATCAAAATAATTTTTATAATATTCTAACCTCGTTAAGTGTTTACCTTACAATTTTATCACCATTTATTCTTAGTGTCAATTCAATACCACTCCATTTTTATTATATTTTATAAAACAACATTTTGTCTAATTTTAATCCTTTGACCCTTATCCTCAAATCAGTTTACCTTAGTTTTTTTCTCCCAGTTTACATATTACACACATTTCTCACGAAGATACATTTTATTTACTCCAATTGCTAATATATTTTCCACTATATCTCCCTCTAATATTTAACTATCTTCCAGCTTGTTCTATTTGATTAATTCTCAGCTTGATCCCCTCCAAAACACCATTTAGTTGATTTCAGAATAGTTCCTCAATCTCCTCCAACTCTCCTATTTGTTTGACTGTTTCCAGCATTTTGTGGGCTGATTTCCAGCATAGTCTCCTCCTTAACTCCCTCCATTGTTTAGCTGATTTCCAGCATAGTCTCCTCCAACTCTCCTCCTATTTGTTTGGCTGTTTCCAGCATTTTGAATTAATTTCCAACGTATTTCCACCGAGTCTCAAACTCTTATCTAGTTGGTATCCATCCCACACATTTTAACTGTAATATAATTATCTGTTTTATATCATTTTTCCATCCTGCTCTTTCAATTCAAATCTCAGTATATTTCATAATGATCATCATTTCCAACTTGTATTACCTTAATTCAAGATTAATCACTAGCATCTGTTTATCTTGTATTTTGTTCAATCAATCCTTATTCATCAGTTTAACATTTGTTTGCAAATTAAAATTAAAACGTATTACATCAAACAGTACATTTTCTTAAAATTTTCCTGCCTCAAAATATATTCTTCTTTATTATTTTTATCCCCTTTATATCATCCACTATTTTAATAGCCACCTCTTATTTTCTATTTTATTATTTCACAACCCTTCCTGTTTTTATCCAAAAATCAAATATACCTAGGCTTTTAAATTTTATCATATATACATAGGCTTTTAAACTTTACATTTCAGTTAGTCACATTTAAATTTATCCACTTTAATTCTTCCTTTTCCTCTCTGTCCAAAGTGCTCTATTTCAAGGTTCATCAGTTCAAAGTAAAGAATTTCTGTATGTCCCTTTAAACCTTTTAAAATGTCTGTTCCAAGCGTAGTGCATCAGCTTCCTGTCTTTGTTAACTACGCCACACCTAGTTTTGTCAGTCTCCATCGTTAAAATCCAAAATGTTCTTTCTTTCTTCTTTCTTAAAATCATCTGGGACAGAGTAGGAATCTCCAAAATCCTTATATCCAATATTAATTTCAAGTAATCCAAGGTAAAAAGCCAATTACCATGTTTCTTTTCCACTCAGAAAGGGAGATCTCTTCAATCCACTTCCCTGCTTAATCGCTGCAGACTCCGTGGCTATTTTGTAGCCATCCATCTGTCTATCTTCATTAGCTTCATTTTCTTTTAGAGGCATTAATTCTCAGGAATATCCATTTCTCCTCTCCACTCCAGTTAAAGGCACAGTCAAATTTCAGAGATTTATTAATGCCAAATCATCCAGTTTAAGTTTACTGCAACAAAATTCAATTTGGGTCTTTTACCCATTTTTTTTTCCTTTTCAATCTTTAAGCCCCACAGTCCAGCAGCCGCTTTTAATTTTGGGGTCTTATTTTCCAATAATTCCAAATAGGTATGTTATATTGCCTGGGTTGGTGTCACTCACCCGGCTTCTTGATTTTTGCTCTTTCTTCATCTTCCTCCAGCACAATCCTTGTTCCCGGTTGCCGTGGTTTCAGGGCAGCTGCCATGGCTGCCATTCCGCTGCCGCCGACGTGAAGAAGCCTCCGGCCCCTAGGAACCCGCCCGTTCCTCTCGGCCGCCCAAGGCGTTCCTTCTTGTCCCCCTGTCCCTACAAGACAGGGGAGGTCCGCAGACCTATCGGCGGCAGCTTAGCAGAGGGGATTTGGCAGGGCTCAGCAGAGCTCACCATTTCCCCGTCTGTGTCCCCGTGGCGCCAACCGGAAGTCTTCGCATCCATCCTTGTTTTTGATTACTTGGCAGCTTTTATTGATTGATTGATTGATTGATTGATTGTATTTATATGCCGCCCTTCTCCAGAAGGACTCAGGGCGGCGAACACAAGTTAAAAACATGTTCAGCAAAATCCCATTTTAATCCAAATTAACTAATAAATAATAAAACCCAGAATCAGAGTCGGCCTATTTGCTTGAACAGCCAAGTCTTCAGGTCCCGACTTTTAATACTATCAAGTTTCAATATCATCGATGGTATCCTTCTGGCTTGGCTCTGAGTTGGGAATGCATTGTATTACTGGCTTGTTTCCTTTCTGAGGTCAATTCCAGTTGCGTTGATAGGGCAGGAAGAAGTCCAACCTACAGTCCTTATCCTGTGAGATGTCTCAGGGTTCAGTGCTTTTTCCCATCAAAGTCTCCCTAAAGCTTCTGAATGAGGTCATCCTGATTTGGGGTGAAGTTTCATCAGTCTGATGATACCAACTTTATATCTCTACCTCAGGTTGTCTGAGTGATGCCATGGAGATTTTGTTTCAGCCCTAGAAACTAACATCTAAATGGGACATATCAGGTTTCAGCTCTACCCTAGCAAGGCCAAACTGCTTTAGGTTTTTGGACTTTTGTCTTTGATTCTGGATGAGGCAACATTGCCTCTGACAGAATCAGCACAGTCAAAAGGATCCTCCTAGACTAGAGCCTAGAGTCATAGCTCCTGCTCAACTAAAAGGTGGCAGCCATAGCTAGGATAGCCTTTGCACAAATTTTGGATTATGCATCATTTGCACCATTCCTAGACAAAGAGGTCATACTCAGTCACTTACTGTATGCTCTAGTGACCTGATTGCACCACTGCAATGTGTTCTACATGAGCCTACCCATGAAGAGCATTTCAGTCAACATAAAATACAGTGGGGCGGCCTATTTATTTGTTTATTTATATTCCACCTTTATTATTTCTACAAATAATAGTGAATATTATTTCTACAAATACAGTGAATATGTAGAACCACCTTCCTTCTATTTTTCCCAGAACAACTCTGAGAGATGAATTGGGCTGAGAAAGAGTGACTGGCCCCAAAGTGTGACTTAGCCACTTTCATAGCTAAGGCGGGACTTGATTTTTAGTCTTGTTTTCTAGTCTGGTGTCTTAACTACTAGACCAAATAGGCTCTTATATTGTCTTATTAAGTCAAGTTGTCTTAAAGTTGCCTGTTGTTTGGTGCATAGGCCACCTCTACTATGAGAGCTGCACTGGCTAGCAGTATGTTTCTGGATGAAATTCTATGTGGTGGTCACTTTTAAAGCCCTTCATTGCTTGGGGCCAGGTTACTTATGGGACCATCTCTCCCCAGTTTTTTTCTACTGATCTCATTTACTTCAGCAGGACGGGGATGCTCCAGATATCATGTGCTAAGAAGTGTCATTTCATCCAAGAGGAGAGCCTTTTCTGCCATGACACCCGCTCTCTGGAATATCATCCCGCTAGAGATCAGATTGACCCTGATCCTACAGGCCTTCTGCAAGGCCTTGAAGACTTCATACTGTACATGCACTGAGGCTGCAGAGTTTGAGAGAAAGCCCATCTCCCATAAAATTAGCACCAGGTGTAGTTTTGTAAAACTTTTAAAGAAGACTTTCCTTCTCATCTGATCCCTATGGTGCTTAAAGTACAAGTAGTCCTCAATTTACAACAGTTCATTTAGTGACTGTTCAAAGTTACAAAGGCACTAAAAAAAGTGACTTATGACCGTTTTTTCACAGTTACGACCGTTGTAGCATTCCCATGGTCACATGATGAAAACTCAGATGCTTGGCAATTGACTAATATTTATGATGGTTGTAGTGTTCCTGGGTCATGTGATTACCTTTTGCGACCTTTTGACAACAAAGTCAATGGTGAAGCCACATTCACCTAACAACCAGGTTACTAACTTAACAACTGCAGTGATTCATTTAACAACTGTGACAAGAAATGTCATAAATTGGGCAAAACTCACTTAACAAATGACTCACTTAACAATATAAATTTTGGGCTCAATTGTGGTTGTAAGTCGAGGATTCCCTGTATTCCTTTTGCCAGTATTTGATTTAAATTTGATTTAAAACACAAACGCAGGTTGGAAGAAAGGAATCTCCTCTCCCAAGAAAGTAAATAAAGAGTAAGCCCTTAGAGCAACACAGCTAAGTCTGTTGTTCTAACATATTTTTAAACTGTTAACAGTGTTTAAGCACATGCATTTCCAAATTGCACATAATACTGAAGAGTATTTTTTGAAACAAAAGTTGTGAACCTATATACACTGAGATTAAATCTCATTAAAATAATGTAGTTATCTCTGAACAGATGTAACAGGAATTCATTGCCAATACCTTTCTTGTCTAAGAACTAGTACAGTACAATCTTTTTTTGGAAGCAGTATTTAGTAGCATTAACTTTCAACAAAAGTGTTGTTGTAGATTCTTGCTTACTTTTTACCAAGGCCCAGTGGCTTTTCAAGTACTTAATGAAAAGTTGAGTAATCAAAATGAGTATCAAAATTTCTAGATGGTAATCACAGCAGGTGTTTCAATAGGAAGGAAACAGGTTCAAATATTCACAGTGCAATGAATATTTTCACTTATTTCAGATATACAATGGATTTTTCGTTATTTCAGTTCTGGTATAGTATCTCTGATTTCCACCACAGGACAGGTAGTTTCAGTTCTACTGCATCTACAATAGTATAAACTTAACTCATTAAAATTCCAAGTCCAACCTAGAAATATTTTCATTCTCAGATTTAAAGTCATCCATAGCATTGAACGGATTGCTGATTTTCCCATATTGAGAATGACAAGAACTATTAAACGGGAACGAAACTACTCATCTCCCATATTTATTTAGAAGCTTAAAGTCATTACTTTTAACTTCACGCTCTTATTACAAAGGATGACTTTCAAATTCTACTAAGCCCCTCATTCGCAGGAGAACTCTGTGCTTTCCTCAGCTTGGCGCCTTCCGAGAGAATAAGCCTTCGCGGCAGATCCATAATCCTCAGCCATTCAGCTGAAGCAGGTAGCTTTATATGCTCCTCACCTGGCCACACTTCACAGAGGAGAAGCAGATGACCCCGTTCGGACCACTCCGTGAACGGCGCCAGAACTAGCAATGCGACCATAAGGGCTCCAGCTCTTAGCATGGCTTTTTTCCGCGCGCATTTTTCTCCCAGACCGCCATGGCGGTTCTAACGGTCCTTCGAGCTAAACGAACAAGCGAACACCACGAGAGATGGCGAAAGAGGCTCCCGCGACGATTCTGACCTCGCGCGCGAAGAAATTGGCGGGCTGCCAACGCTTGTTGTTAAGGTAGCGCGAGCGGGGCGGGGCTTCAGGCAGCCCGCTGACCTATTGCATTTCGAGAGAGTGGCGTTGAAGGCTCAGGTATTTCAAATGCCTAAAGGCGATTCAAATAGAGACGCTTTTTTAAGAGTTACCTGTTCTATTGAAATGACCGAAACGTCAAGTTAAATGAGCCTTCAGACAGTTTCTCCACCCCCGCCGCCGCCTGTTGTTATTGAATGTGCGTGTCTTTTGTGTTTGATATATTTGCTAGTAAGTAAGAAGTGTTAAAATTTTAAATATTAAGAAAAACAACTCGGGAGAAATAAAAACAAAGCAAGAAGCAGCACTGACAGAAGGTTTCACAGAAAGATCTCTCTCTCTTTTTTTTTTAGCCATTACTTTCTCTCATTTTTTAGACACATAATACAAAGACTTGATTAATTCTTGGGAAGTCTATAAAACTGGGAACGTTGGATGGACTCAGTTACTGGGGCAATTGGAAGATATGAAAGATCATCCTGAAGAAAATCTGTGGAGTCATTGAGAGTCAACAGTGATTATGCCATATAAGAAAAAAATCTATCTCCTTTAATTGAGTTTATGGAGGCCTGTTGAGACCATTTTGCATTTGCAACTATTCTGTTTTTGTCTGTCTGTTTGTCTGTCTATCTATCCCATATTATTTTTATATTTTATTTTTATTTATTAAAATATTATGCCTCCCTTATATCTTATCTCCCCTATAAGGTGACTTGGGGCGGCTAATGACACATGCCTTCAAGATCAGACGTTCAAATAAGACCAACTGATGTATATTCACTGAATAGCCTTGATATTGTCATATTAAAGTTAATACATAGAATTATATTTTAAATAATAACCACAGTAAGATTTATTTGGGTTCTACTCTGCCAGTTTTATACTATACATATTATCAATTTTGCCCACAAGGTGGTGCTCTCTCAAACCTATTTGTTTTGTATGTTTGAAGTGATTTTGCCCAAAAAATATTTTAGCTTTATTTTTCAAAAATAAGATGAAGCCTTTATTTTAAAGTGTTTGAACAATAATCAATTTCCTTCATATAGTTACACATTTTACAATACATATTTCAGTTCAGCATCCCAACTATTTTTTTCTTGGCCTTAACAATATGTTTTTCTTCTGATTTTGTATTAACTGTTAAATAGAATATGACAACTAGTTTACTGGCTACTTTGATCTCTCTCTTTCTTTATTTCGTCACATTAAGGTGACAAAATAACAATTTTAAAAGTTGCATGTACTACAAGAAGGTACACATTTGTGGAGTCCATAGTGTTCTCTGAGCTTGATTGTTTGCTTTCGTTACAGTACCCAACTAGATAACATCATCAGGGTGAGTGAACAGGTAGTTAGCTGTTTATATATAGTAGCTTGTCCTGCCACTGTTGGTGGGAGTGTGGCTTTGTTCTTGACAGTTCCTTGATTAGGGTATTGCTTTCTATGTGATTCCTTGTCTGGTATTAATCCCTGCTTATCTAGGTATTTGAGCTGGAAATGATGTGTCTGGTCTTTTTGTTCCCTTCTCATTCCCAAAGGTGCTTTTTCAAAAGACAATTGGACTTTGCTTTTCCTTGAAGATATTTAGCTTCTCATCCAAGAAGCGTTTTCAGTTCTGACTGAATGGTGGAGAATGGAAGAATTTATATTTATAACTGCTGAAAGGACTGTGTTATAAACAGGAGTTAGGTGGTGTCATAGCCCTCCCCCTCTGTTGATAAAGGGCTGTTCAGTCTTAATGTAGATGGCTTCCTTGACCCCCTCTTCAAACCAGTGGTCCTCTGTTCAGCGTGTGGACTTTGCTGGCTTCAAAAGAGTGACCTTTGTCTTTCAAATGCAGATGGATTTGTCCTGATGGGTTTTTTCTCCTATGTTGTGCCATGTTTTTATGAAGTTGTTTTGTTTCTCTAATGTACAGATCTGTACATGTCTCATTTCATTTTACTGCATACAGGGGGAAGAGTACAACACCACCTATCTCCTGTTTACAACACAGTCCTTTCAACAGTTCCAAGAAGGTTCCATACCCATGTGCACTATTCAGGTGACCCTGAGAACTTCCAAGTGGCCTCAACAATTGTCAGAAAGAGTGCCAACGACCAGATGACCGCAAGGAATATAAATCTCTCCATTCTTCAGCATTCATTCAGAAAGTTCTTGGATGCCTTTTGAAAAAACACCTTTGGGACAACCATGACTTGGATGACTGAGAATCTCAATAGATATTTCCTTCTTAGCTTTTTTTATTGTCTCTTAAAAGACAATAAATAGGAAGCAAATCTTATAGTAATTCTCATTGAACATGTTACCTTGTTGGATAATTAAACATCTGCAAGCAAACAACCAAGCTCAGAGAGCACCAAGCACTCTATAATTCAACCCTGAGTGATAAATATTCTCTTTTTCATATTCAATTAAATATCTATTTCATTGTGGGAAAAGAAACAGTACCCTAATTTTATGGAACATTCTTGCCCTGGAGGAGAGGGCAGTCTCTACTGTATGTATTTGAAAATTAATCAAAGCAGCATTGTTCCAGTGAGTATTTGGACCTCAAGCTAATCTAACTTAATGGCATTTCTAATGTATTAAATTTCCATTGCATATTTTATTAATTATATATGTTTGTATGTGCCCTACTCTTATTTTGACTTTGTGTTCCCACTCCCCAGATGTTTTGATTGGAATAGGCTAAAAATATTGTAAAGTCAGTCAATTTGGTCTGGAGGACAATTGCTGAGAACTCCTCTGTGTATACACCTGTTATTCAGGGGCAAGGTGATAGAGGCCCTGAGAGGCCCAGTGCAGGCCGCACACAAATGTTTCTCTGTTCAGAGGCTGAAAATCCTGCTTCGATTTTGGCAGGGTGGATTTTCAGCTCCTGACTAGAGCCTCCCAGGGTCTCCCCATTACCCTGAGGCTCCCTGCACTCCTTATTGGAACTTCATCTGCTTAACGACCTGTGCGGTTGCTTAACAACCACAACTAAGATTGCTGGGATTGCAGTTATTGAGTGAATCAATCACATGGACAGTCACATGGATGTCCCACTTAACGACTGCTTCCTTCAGCGACTGAATGTCAATCCCAGTTATAGCTTTAAATTGAGAACTACCTTTAGCTCCTTTTTATCTAAATGTAGTCTTGCTCCAACTATTGTTACTGCTGTCCCAACACTACCTCTTATCAACATATGAATCATTTCCCAAGATTTATTTTTGTGGTAAGATCACTATACCAAGCCCTGATCAAGAACTTGGTCAGGATATCTACTTTCATATGTTTCTGGTTAATATTGGAACTCAATTGTGTAGTAAATAGTTCAGTAGATGGCACTTCATCTCATTATGGTAGTTGTTGGAATTCACAGTATGCACCAGACATATAGATTCCTGGCTGTCCTCTAGGATGAGTTATTTATATATATGTTCAACCAAAGTGAGCACATTGCTATATCCTCACAATATATAATGCTGTTGCATTATATACAGCTTCCATGGAAAACAGTTCAATTGCAAATTGGTTTTTTATTTGTTTGTTTGTTTGCTATTGAATTTATATAGCTGCCCACCTCATAAGGTATGACTCTGGGCACATATAATTATCATATCTTGGTGGGATGCAATAATCAATGATTCTTATCAGCCCAGGTAACAATCCCACTCCCAAATTGGAGCAATTGCCATATTTTGACTTACAGTTTGCCTTATTACCAATTTAGTCCATATCAACATATCAATTTTAATTATGCCAGTAGTTTTAATTTCATGTTGATTGCACAGGTAGCCTTCAGATAACAACCACTCATTCAGTGAAAGTTACTGCAGCACTGAACAAGTGGTACTTATGTTCTTGCCATCTCAGCACCACTGCAGTCACATGAGTACAATCTGGGTGTCTGGCAACCATCTCATGCATTTACAATATCCCTTGGTCACATGATCGCCATTTGTGACTTTCTCTGCCAGCTTCCCACAATCAAAGTCAATGTAAAACCATGCTTTCTAGTTCCAATTACTATCATTAATCAAGGACATTAATCAAATAAATATTGCAGTTACTTTTTTCATTGTGATGTAGTCACTCTGGGATGGTGCAGTGACCTCCAAGTACAGTATTTTAGTTGCTGCTGAGGAGTTAGTCTTGTTATCTTTGGTATGTATCACAAAATTTCCATGGTCTGTTGATATGATGGTTGTTTATTACCATATTTTGGCCTCTTGTGTCTTCTTTCTGATACTCCATTGCCATGGAGTGTTTTGCTTTCCTGGCTTCTTCCATTGCAATATAAACCAGTATTTTGCTGATTTTGCTTCTTTGGTTGATGCTACTGAATATCTTAAATGTTTGATTTTAACATTATCGTTGAACTTCTGAATGAATTTATTGCCATCATCCTCTTGTTGAAAAATATCACTGTACTATCGATGAATATCAAGTTGTATGTAGAATATAGATGGAATAGGAAATAGTCTTCAAGGACAGGAGGAAAAGCTGCTAACAAGACAACAGTCAGATAAATGGGGCTTAAGTCTGGGCCAAGAAAATAACTTGAGAAAATATCTGATACGCCCTTCCCTAGTTCACCCAAAGAGACAATGGAGGGAGGGGGAAAAGCACATTTACACACTTGCAAGGTTCTATAACTTACAATAAAAATGATCCTGACCTGTATGGCATTGGATTCTTCATCTGATCTACCTTGTAGGACTGACATAGGTATTCTTATGCCTGTCCTCTTATTAAGTTAATTAATTAATTTCTTCCCTTGTGTATCTGAACTGCAGCTCGTATCAGTCATTTTGAGAATAATGGCAGACTAAACATTCCTGAACATCAGTGTTGAAAAAGGCACCTAAGAATACTGTGGCAGCCAAAGAAACAAACAAAAATATTATCAAAAGAATTAATGCAGAGTTTTCACAAGAGACACAAATGACCACACTTAAATTTTCCTACTTTGGGCTTTCTCTTTATGCCAAGACCTAGCTCTCTAGAAAAGACTGTAATCTTGGAAGTGGTAGAAAGAAGAAAGCTACCACCAGTTACAGTGGCAATGAGTACATTATTGGAAGATGTAAAAGGTAAGTTTAGTGACAAATTATCATGGAGCCAATCTATGTGGTTGCTAGAGGCAGTGCTGATTTGATGACAGATAATCAATCAATCAATCCTTTTACTTTCTAACACCGACATAAATTATAAATTGTTATTCTCCCTTCTGCCATTACCCATTCACCTCCTTCGCCTTCCAGTAGGCTTACAGCCATTTTGTCTTTCCTTTGTTTTTCTTTTTGTACTAAAATAAGCCTCCCTCCCTCTCTCTCTCTCCCCCCCCTCCCCCCCCCATCTCTTTCTCTCTCAGCCTTGTATCTTTATTTGGTTATAAATCTTTCCTTCCACTTTGGTATTGCTTTTTAGTTTTTAGACTTTCAAGTGAAAGCTTTGGGTACACCCATGTTAACATTTTTAAATTATTCTCCTTTGTATTGCTAGTAGCCATTGCTTATAATTGCACCATCAATATCTTATTCCAGAAAATTTCCCATTCCTCCCGGATCTCTATTTCTGTCCGAGTTCATCAACATCTGTTGTTCTGAAATCTGGTATACAAATCTGTCCCTATATTCTTCTCTCCTTGATACCATGAATTCAAGGACAACAGGATCAATCTCCCAAGGTTTCTGTCATATTAATTTCTTCACTCATTACTTTCCTTGTGGTAAGGATTAAGTCCAGTATAGCTGACCTCTTAAGCCACCTTCTGAAAAATAGAGCTGTCAGTAAGAAAACAGAAATCATTGGATCTGTGATATTAGCAAAGTTGAATTAGTTGCCTTAACAGAGATAGTTGAAATCTCCCATTTTTACTATTCTAGGTGTCTTTAAAAGTTTGGCAGTCTATAATGAACTTCAACACTATCATTTTTGTGTTTTTTCTTTTTTTTTTCTTTTCATCCTAGAGTTTTCCTGCAAGTGCAGGGTTTGCTTTTTTCAGATCAACTGAGCGTTGATCCATTGGTTGTGACAGGAATCGATTAACCAGCTTGTTGCCCATGCCTGACATTGTCATGAGTTGAAAGAGAGTGACTGGCCCCAAATCACTCAACCAGCTTTCATGCCTAAGGCAGGATTAGAACTCACAGTCTTTTGGTTTCTAGTCTGGTGCCTTAACCATTAAACCAAACTGACTTTCTTTTTCCCTCCTTTATTTTTACTCAAATACATTCAATAGGATTTCTGTGCTTCAGTTTGTGGATTTATATACATACTGTATGTATGCATTCTGCATGTACCACACAATACTCCTCTTTCTGCTGAGTTTATTCCATTGAATAAATTACAGTATTGCTTTCCAGGGATATTCCTATCACATATGCATCCCTACCATAGGATGTTTTGGATATTGTATTTGGCTTCCTCTAAGAATTTGTTTGTTTGTGAGTTTTTCTGTTTGTTTCCAAAACTCTTTTTTTTAAAGTGGCTCTTGAATTTCTTTGACGTTTCTTCTTCCCTGGCCTTGGATTTTCTTCCACAGTGGACTGATATTGGTTGCCTTCTTATTTTATTGTTTTTCAGACATGCTTCAACCTATCTTCCTCTTCATGTTATCTGGCCTTTACTTCCTTTCTATGTCCCTCCCTTCACTTGCCCCTTTAGAAATATCTTACCTCTTCTGGTGTGTAATGGAGCAGAAATTCAGTTTTTCCTCCAAAAATGGTATTAACGTGAACTTTCAGAAAATCAAGTTTCTCTTCAGCAAGAATACAAGCACTGTGGATCCCTATGAAGCTTCTTTTACTGCCCATGCTGCTTGCAGTTTATTCAGATCTCCACCATACATTTCCCTTCTTAAAATCTTCCATAAACCCTTACTCCTCTTTCTCTTCTACTCCTTTATCTCCTCAGATGAATTCCCTGCTTGGGTCAATAACTATGAACTTTATTAGAATGTATTATGATTTTTTAGAATTCTTACAGTTGAACTTTACAGACAGTACCAAATACAGAGCTAACACTTCAGTAATAAATGCACATTGCTAACAGGAAGGAATTTAGAACTGTAGTGGTATCCTGTAGGATGTCTATATTTCATTATGATACATGATGATTTACAGAACCTTACTGTAGTTTTATGTTTTGGTAATTGTGGTATTATGATTACTGGCATTACTTCTAAACACAGGAAAGAAGTTTGCTGATAGTTATGGTATCTGTTTCCCACTTCTTAACAGGTTTTAAGTAAACCAGTGAATATCTGAATAACATATTAAAATTAATGTGTTATAACTTCCAATATAGTGATTAAAAATGCAAATTAACAATTTTCAGTTGAGGGGTACTTTGAGATGCTGTTCTATGAAAATATTTCTCTCTGTTTTTTAGTTATTATAAAGAAATATGGCAAAGGGAGGTAGAGAATCTGGAGGAAAGGGATCTCAGCCATTTGCTTTCTACATTTCAGGGCCATCTCTTTAGAATAATGCTGGCAGTTTGTATTATCCACTCACAGATATTTGTAATTGGAGTGGCCTATGAAAAAATAATACTGGGACAGATCTGGGCTACATAAATCTGAATTCTAATGACAAAGAGTTAGAGCTGCTTGCATTTCTTTGCAGCCATTGAGCAGTATACCTAATCAGTATACATTCTATATGGTGGTCATATTTGCCTGCAGACCATTTCTACCAGCTACTGACCTGTCATGTTGCCCTAACCTAATGCTATGATGCCTCCATGGACATTGTTAGTCTTGCAACAGAGCATGATTAAGTTTACTTTTATTTAAGACAGAAAGGCCAAATGAGCTTTCCAGTCTCTTGCAAGCTGCCCCATTTCCCAAAAAGAATGCTTCCCTCCATAATTGATTCTAGTGTGTAGATGATGACTGGCAACACTGAAGCCAATAAAAATAAATTTCAAAAGTACTGTATAAATACTAAAACTATCCAAAATTATAATTAAAACTATTGAAATCAGTTAAAACTCTGTTTAATATATTTATTTAATAGCCTTTTAAAAAATTCAAGAAATTAGCTGTTCAACTCCACAAAAACAGTACATTCCAAAGAACTAGGACAGCTACAAAGAAGATAAGTAGGGAACAACTGTTGCTAAAGCACCTCATATGAACTCAAGTCTGGGGGTGGGGTTGGATATGCATTGTCCATAGGGCAAAAACATATAGCAAGAGATATATGCTGAAATAACTTGAATAAATCATACAAAATTTTGGAAGTACTAATCAGCACTTTGCATTTTGGCCAGAAAAAATTGGCAGTTAATTAAAGCTTTTAGTGTTTCTTTCAGTTCTTCCAGAGACTATTGGCCGCTGAGTTCTGCACCAATTGAAGATTCAGACTACAGGCAGATTCACATGCAGTAATTTACAGCAGTTAGGTACAATGGTTACGAATGCCTGCATCAAGGTATTAAGGTAATTTTCTTGCAAGAAAACATGCAATTGATGTATTAATCAAAATGAATTAAAGTACTGCTTTAGTTATACTGGAACACCAAAGAGAACTATGGATACAGAAGCTTACATACATTGCAAATGTTCTCCTTCTGGAAAAAGTATAACTCTGTTCATTACAGGTAATGTATTGACATATTACCATAATTGGAACCAGAATTTCCATTGCTAAGTAAGGTGGTTGTTAAGTGAGTCATGCTTGATTTTATGACCTTTTTACCCACAGTTGTTAAGCGAATTATTGCAGTTGTTAAGTGAATCATGTACATCAATATACAGAAAGCAGACATTTCAAATTATTTATTGGATATTTTATGCTAATAGTCTCATCTAAAAACTTATATACAACAATTCCATTTGATGACTTGCTAATTTTAATACAGACCCAAGTGTAGTGTCATTTAATGACAGGCTCTTTACAGAATCTGACTAAAGAAATCAGTTGAAAACTAAAAAAAATCAAAGGATAGGATGAAAGCTTTATCCTTATTAACTGACTTCACATTGAAAAAAAAAACTAAGGAAGAGATTTGTTTATTAATTTAGTTATTCAATTTATATGACTTTAAATTTATATTCCTGACTGTAAGTAGCTTGAAACAGTTAAAAATACTGTAAAGCACATAATAAAAACCAACACAAATAAAATAAGCAGCCAAATAAAAATAGAACAACTTACACAAACCAATGTAACTAGTACTGTATATAGGCCCTGCCAAAGCTTGACAACAAAATCAAGTCTTTAATGCCTTACAAGAAGTCATCAGAGTCAGAGCCAATCAAATATTTGGAGAGACCCTGTTCCAAAGGTCAGTCACCATGACAGAAAATGCTCTCTTCCAGGGCAAGGTCGGATGGCACTCCCTAAGAAATGGGATCTGGAACATGCCTCTTCTACCAGACCTAATGAGATGGGTAGATAAAAACAGGGAAAGGCAATGCCTCAAATAACCCATCACCATGGTATAAAGAGTGTCATCGGTCACTTATAGCATTAAATATTATTATCCAAAATGTAGGTCAGGTAAGCTCTCTTTTGCAGAAGGTCTTTTCTTGAATAATCCTGGCAGTTCCTTAAGACATTAATATCTTTCTTAAGATATTAAAAATATCTCAACATTTATAGAGGCATGCATTAGGAATGAAGAGGTTAAATTCAGGTTATTATAAATAATAAATCATGATTCATATATCACAAGGATTAGGTTAGGTTTGTGAAGTATGTATCTATGAATAAAATATTGAAGTATGAAGCCAAGATTGCAAAATTAATTCCACCTCTTCCTCCATTCTGATTTTTGAAAAGTGAGGTTCAAAAATAAAAAGATGAATTCTATCAGTTAAGAGATTTGCTTTATGTAAAGAGAATCACTAAGTTTAATTTTAAAATATTATTCTTGAGAAACAAAATAATAATTCAACCCTTAAGTGAATTGTATCTGTTGTAAAATACCTGGGTTTGATACACAAACCAGTTAATAGGTCAACTGAACTGAGGTCAAGTATATTGGAATAATAGTTTTCTTTTTCAGCATCCCCTACACTGACATCACCATTTCAGAATGCTTCTGTGTTTTAGTGGGCTAAAGCTAATCAAAAACGATTCCAGCCTTTGTTTCTTTGCTGCTATTAAGGCAGTTTCCTCAAACCAGTAATCTGTCATTCATCCATCTATTCTGGGCAATTCCTTTTTTCCAACCACGCAAAAGAGCCTAAAGTCCCAGTCCCTATTTCTCCAATTTTGCAGACAAACCTAGAGAGACTGTAATCCTCTTCAGTGTTCCCAGAGAGATTCATATTGGCAAAGAGAAATTTGCCTCCTTTTCCCAGGTACAGCTATAATTGCTTTCCGTGCCAAAAAGCCACATTTCTGGGCCTCTTGCCTAGAGCAGAAAGCAGGGCTGCTGGATAAAACCAAAGGACAGCTTCTCAAGGGCTACAGTATAAAAGCACATTATAGTGTTTTGTTTCCAGCCAAGGAAAGGCAGGAAAAAGATTCTCGAGTTTTGCAGTAATGTAGCCATTCCCTTTTAAACCTTTTATTATTTTCTGGCCTAAATCCAGAGTACCTCAATTCTTCAGCTACTCTCTCAACTCATCAACTGAGATACTTAGAAAAGATAAACTTCTGAACCCTTTTTCTGTCTCTAAGGAGGGTTTCCCTACTTGCCTAACTTGTAGCCTTCCACACACAGTAATTTAATTCCATTAAAATGAAGGTTTACATTTTTACACAATTTTTAAACTTTCTATTTTTTGCATTTATCTGTTTTTCTATCACTGTCAACACCCCTTTATGGATTCCTCTTCTGGATTTAACAATGTTGCAAATCTTATCCTCCTGTAACTTTGCCTGAAGTCCACGTTTCTCAAGCAAACCCTATTCTTGATGTTGGTTGGCTGCAGCAAGTTGTCCCATTTAGAGCTAAAATAATCAAAAGCATCCAGAACCAATATTTCAAACACCATTCAAATCTACCAGTCAGATTCTTCACTCTAGCCAAGTCTTAATATTCAAAAGCTTTGTTCTTCTGCATTGCTATCATTTTTGTACTTTATTTAATTTGCAACTGAATAGAGTCTATGTTGAGAACCTAAATTTTTGGTAAGGTAAGGTCCTTTCTCCTTAATAGTAATTGAATTGCAGTCTGGAGACTGCAATTGCTCCTAACCATCTCCTCTTCTTCCATTCCTTGATTATGTGAGGAAGACTATGCTTGGGAAAGCAGCTGTAGTCTTGACAGAAATGCTTCCCATCCCACTCCCCCAAGGCTCAGCATAGCATATTTTTTTTCAAAGGGTTGTGAAAGTATAGAGTCCCAGAAACCTGAGAGATGGGCTCAAGCATGCATTCATTTACTTACAAATAAGCCAGTCTTCCAGATGCTTGGCTGAACCTTTGTGTTTTCAAGGATATGTTGATATCCAGAGGCAGCCTCACCCCATCCAGATCCTTAGCTTACAAAAGCAAACACTAAGACATTGTAAGGGTATGTGTGCAGGAGAAAAGGAGACAACATACAGGCAAGGAAGCAGGAGGCAATGAAGACTGGTTGTTATTATAGGCAGGCCAGACAACTAGCAGCATGTCCTGGTAGGAGTACTTGGGGAATTTAGCCGGAGTCCTCAAAAAGCAAGGTTGCTTAAGAGCAAAGCTTCGAGTTTGGCCTGGGGCTCAACAGCAACTAGAAAAGGAGCAACCACGCTGAAACTGCATCTCATCATAACTAGCGCAATAACTTTTGGAAAAAGGCAAAGGTTGTATGCTATTTTACAAACTTTGAGACTTTTGTCTGATCTGAGTATTACAGACTGAATGTAAAGACTGATTATTATGGACATAGTTATTATCAACATCACTTTGCAAAGTCCTAGAAGGGTGTTGTTGACCAAGAGGAATAAACAGCTGTTGGCAAGATGTGTGCTGCAATAAAGTATTGTGTATAGATTTGCTTTATGGGTTGTGTCCAGTCCTTGGAGAGCAAAGAATCCTCATGAGGACAAATTGGTTCAGTAGAAACAATGGGAAAACAGCAAATTTTGTAGAATTAGGATTTTAAAGTGTATGCAATCCTATGTATTTCCAAAGAATAGAAACAAGTACCAATCTAATTTCAATTAAATTTAATCTTTCTTCATAAAGTATACAAATTGGGTCAACTTGGACTGTCAATAATATTTAAAAGTCATATAAATATATAGTAGTCCTCAACTTACACCATTATTGAGCACATTTCTGTTGCTAAGCAAGGCAGTTGTTCAGTGATTCATGCCATTTTGACCTTTTTGCCATGGTTAAATGAATCAGTGCAATTGTTAAGTGAATCAATAATGTCGTCAATAATCAAATCTGGCTTCTCCCATTGACTTTGCTTGTCAGAAACCAGCTGGGAAGACCACAAATGGTGACCACATGACAGTGCAACCATCATAAATACATGCCAGTTGCCAAGTATCCAAATTCTGATCATGTGACCATAGGAATGCTGCAATGGTCATAAGTATGAGAACTGGTCATGTTACTTTTTTCAGTGCTGTTATAACTTTGAATGGTCACTAAATGAATGGTTGTAAGTTGAGGACTACCTGTACATTAAATAAGGAAATCTTACTAAAGTTACATGGAATTATATTTTAAGCAAACAGAGTATCTTCGAAGTATTACAAAATTACAGAAGAATTATTTTAGCACTGAATTTGTTGACTGTCACTGGAATGCTTCACAGAACAAAGGTGCTCTTAAATCTACATAAATAAGTAATCAACAAAGAACAGTAGAAAGTATTACACTCCATCAAACTTTTATTGGTGGAAATGTTGGTCTAAAAATGGGAACTTTCTAGATTTTGTTAGCAAAGGTGTAATCAAATTGATACGTACAAACTTTGATGAATGCCAAATTTAATAATGCTTTTTGTCAAGTGTTTTTGAAGAAATTAAGAAAATTATGTAATTTTTATAAATTATGGTGAGGCTAGATAGATGCAAATAGAAAATAGTGTTTGTTAATTTTAATCAGTGAGCAATATAAATTTATTACTTGAGTACTGACCATATTTCATGATATGAAATGATATTTATTAATTTATCCTATTTCCTAATACTTAACAATTGATCAAGGATAATAAATGGATTAAGTATTTATTGTTCACTATTGAGTTTACTGTTGAAAAACAAAAGTACATTTTTAATTGTCTCAGTGTTATTTTAAAGTATGGGAAATTGCTTTGCTGAAAATTAACAGCAATAAAGGACTCCTTAAAATAAGGGCTCCTTATCAGTTGTAAATTTAGTATACTATTTGGTCACTATTTGTTTGCTATAAATTGTTCTAATAAACTTATCTTCATTTCTAAACAAGTTGTTTTAGACAAAATGTATGGGTATTTAAAATAATTGTATAGGAGTATGTTTATAGGTAGACATAGACTTTGTTAAATTAGTTTTTATTTAAAAGTGTATTGTTATTGATACTTTCCTTAGTTGTTTTTTAATTTTTCTGGGGGGAAAAGGAAAATATGACAACAGTAGGCAGCTGCATACTACCTTTCTGCCACTCAAACACCATTCTGTAAATTTTGAAATTTTATTCCTTTAAATTTAACAGATATTTTAATAAGAATGCAATAAAAATCATGACAAACGTCTGTTTGAGAGAAAATAACCATAAATAAATATTTGTAGGATTAAGGGTATTTATTTATAAATGTTGGTCCAAATGACTTATTGTATAGTTTCTTGATTTTTATCTAGGAAATAACAGATTAACAGAGTTGGAAGGAACCTTACAGGTCATCTAGTCCAACCCCCCACTCAAGCAGGAGACCCTACACCATTTATGACAAATGGCAGTCCAATTTTTTCTTGAAGGTCTCAAGTGATGAAGCTGTTCCATTGGTTGATTGTTCTCACTGTCAGAAAGTTCCTCCTCATTTCTAGGTTGAATCTCTCCTTGGTCAGTTTCCATCCATTATTTCTTGTCTGGCCTTCGGGTGCTTTGGAAAACAATTTGACCCCCCTCCTCTCTGTGGCAGCTCCTCAAATATTGGAACACTGCTATCATGTCTCCCCTGGTCCTTCTCTTCACTAGGCTAGCCATGCCCAGTTCATGTAACCATTCTTCATATGTTTTACTCTCCAGTCCCCTAATCATCCTGGTTGTGCTGTTTTAAAATATAACTTTTAGAAATATGTTTGTTTGTAAATAAATAAATATGTAAATAAATAAATATGTAAATATGTAAAATTTAGCTACTTTTATTGACCTTTACAGGTAAAGTCAATAAACATAGAATTAATTCTTAGTATTAATTATACAGTATGTAGGAAAAGACAACTACAGATTATTTTAATGAGATGTTATGATTGGCCTTAAAAGATGTGTTTCTTAAAAATAAATTCAAATAATCTCTATTGGACATAAAAAGGTAGAAAAGAAATGAATTAGCATATGATAATTCCCAGACATTTAGTCACAGAAAGGAATACTAGAAATATATATTCAAATTCCGGTGCAAAGAGCTATGTAAAGCCTACTTGTCAATGGGACTGAGGAATATATTTCTAATGTTTGTAATGAACTTTTCTGAAATATAAATAAATGATTGGCAGCACAGAGTTCATAATAAGAGAGTCTAATGACAGCAGTACCTCAGGCAGCAACTCAATACTATCAACATTATTGTTCTTGTTTAGTTGTGCAATTGTGGCTCTAGATTAGGACTGGGTGTCATCTCTTGATTGTGTTGTATATTAAAAAGAAAGAAAGGTGAACAATATTGCCAACATATCTTAAATTCAGATCTGAAACTATGGGAAGCAGCATAATAAAACCATTACTTTAAAAATGTAACATCTGTAACTTTTTAAGAGTTACAGATTGTACAGTTGGATTTTTTTTTCCTGTTATTTCTACAGTCAACCCATGACCCACTGGGATAAGAAGTAATGGCTCTTTATTATGAGGCTAAGGCACAACTGATATTTTAATAACCTTCACTGAGATGAAATTGCTATCCATTCTCTTGTACACACAATGACGTAGATAGTCTGGTCTACCTGAGCCAGGGGAAAAAAACTTAGACTCAGCTGGGAAGTTTGCTTACCTGACCAATAGAGTAGGAACCATTAGTACTCTACCTGTCTTGAGTTTAAACTGGAAACCTTTTCACTGCTGTAATTAAACCAAAATGCTTTTTTAAATTCCTTATCTAATTAAATAATAAAGCAATTTCAGGACTTCAAATATTTAAATGTTCATAAAATAATTGACATGAAATAGTCATTTATTTATAAACTATGGAGTTACAGTTTTATTTAATAGAGTCAGCTAACTTGGCATATTAGTAATTTATTAAATATTTCGTATTAAAAAAAGCTCAGAGCAATTATAAACAAAATAAATTGTAGTATTACTACCAAGTGGAACTATCTTTATAAACAATTAAAAAAAAAATCCTAAATCCTAAACTAAACTTCCAGGTGAATGAAGCAGAGGAACCAGAAAGATGGCAAATATGATTTACATATATACATTTCCCTAATGATCAAAACAGATATCCAGACTTGAGTTAGCACCGCTTTCTTTTTCTGATAGAGGTCAGTCAGTATTTTATTCTTTTTCCTGTTAGAATGATAAAAAAAAATAGAGCACTATTGGCCTTGAAAGATTTATGCAGTCTTTAAACTTGTGTAAAGGTAGTTGTTGTGGTCTGCCAGCAGCCTGCGGAGCTGGCAGCGGAGTTGGACAGTGAGGAGACTGGGGAGGAACATGGGCCAGTCCTGGAGTCTGGGGAAGGCCCGAAATAGGCCTCTGCATCGAAGGCAGAGATGGGGCCAGGGCCATCTGGGAGTGATGCGCGGACTCCGGAGCCTCCAGAGTCAGACAGCAGAAAAACAGAACAGGAGGAGCCTGTTCCTAATGCATGCATGCATGCACAGAGCTGCCAGAAGGCATGAATAGTTAAAACAAAAGGGACGACTTGTGAGTAAGGGCTGGAGATGATTGGCCCCTCCCACAAGGCTTAAAAGAGGAGCAAAGGCACGTGGGAACTTTGTAGGAAAGCAACGTTGTTAATTCTGTTCCCAGTCGGCATCTCTGTTTGATTCTGGAATCCATGTGGCTTTGCCAAGTAGGTCTTTGGCAGAGTGTCAAGGGAGATAAAGGTTGGTGATTATCCCGAAGGACTTCTCCCGAAGGACTTTTTGCAACTAATTGGGACTCAGCTGTGAATGAACGTGATTTACAGCTGTTGCAATAAAAGAGGTTTTTGGGACTACTTGTGTGTTTTAATAACTCAGGAAGCCTAGGTTACAATAGTAGTCAACATTTGAACGATGGATTGTATATGCAAAAAATCTGTTTTGGAAATTAAAAACTCGTGTTTGAAATGTAATTAAAAGTATCAGGAGCTCTCTAAGTTTTTATGTGTATAATTTCATAATTTGAAAAGTAAGGAGATTATTGCTTCAAAGCATTAGAAAACTATTAGCTATTCTTGATGATACCTATACAGAGATTCGAAGTCTGAAAATAAGCAACAAGACTTGTCTTGAGTATAAAGGAAATTGGATGCTTGTCTTAAGTAAGACTCCATTTTGCAATGCTGCTTGTTCTCAGTTCTTTGGAAGGACAATTTTACACAGCTGAATTTTAAGCACATACCAAGAATTTGTTTTCTAAAATTTGAACAAGTCTTTCTTTTTTGTGTGACAATAAACATTTTGAGAAGTTATACTCTGAACAAAAAAGTTGTGTTACTCTGTTATCTTAACATTGTACATTTTTACATAAAGCAGTAGCTAATAACTGCAAATCCTGGGAGTTTAAAGAATAGGCTACTTTCAGTCTGTAGAAAGCTTGACCTCGGGGGCACAGAAACTGTTGACTCATTGTTTTTACAGCATACAATATATACTATTAGCCCTTTGTCACATTCTAAGAATGACATCATCATCACTTCTATTAGTAGTATTACTGTATGAATTAAGAGCTTTTTTATTAGAGATTAGTTAAACACTATATTTTTAATATCAGCATATTTCCAGCTTTCCACTTTAAGCTGTTATTTATTGCTATTCATGTGTAGGGAAAAAATGGTAATCAGAATAAGAGTTGCTGGGAGCCTTTACCCTCTGCCTATGGTGCAGTCTATTGCAAAGACTTCTAGGCATGTTGCCAGAGAGGGCAAAGACTGGAAGATGAGTGCCATTGTCAGCACTTGCCTTCAGAAGGTGGGATTTGAATGGAGAGGGTAGAATCTGGAGCAGAGGGGACTAGATCTTTAGCCTCTTCATGACTGAGCAACAGCACACCCTAAGCCTCTCCCTAAAACTGTTTACTTGAAGCACAGGTCTTTTCAAATCTCTTGCTGTATAGGGAGAACTCTGCAATTCTAATCCTCAGAGTATGAAAATTCCTCAAAGAATGCATAAATATGGCATACAAAAGTTTGAAAGCAGGGGGAAAACAATTCTACTTTATAAGATCAATACTTTTAAAGAAGGCTTGGTAATTGCAAAATACATAAATGGTTAGCACCAAGGTTTATTTGTATTTCATACAAACATTATGTTAAAATATCATTTCAGACTTAAAAAACAAATACCAAAATAGGAAATAATTGTTCTGTGATTATTCATAAAATCCTAAAGTATAATCCTATAGACACTTACCTAGTAAAAATTCAGCCAGACTGAACTGAAATGGGGATTATGTCTGAATAGGCAGGCATAAGATTGTGCTGCCATTTTTTTTACCGGTACAGTCTTAATCTGTGCATTTTGAATGAGGCTTGAGTATCATGAGCAAAGCACCCTGCTTTAAAAAAAAATAGGTTAGATGCTGAGGTAGAAATAAAACAGATAGCGTTTCAAGTTCTTTAATATCAGATATAATTCCATTACTTTTTTTTTCTTTGTCTTAAAAGAAAAATCTTCCAAAAGCATTCTAGCACTGTTATGTGTTTTTTCTTTTCTTTTTCAAATAAGCTGTGGCAAAGTTATCTTATCTAAAGTTCAATTAAATCATTTCAATTAGTGTTGTAAAATGGGAAACAATATTTAGTCAGCTCATTTAACCAGTGAAGACAGGCTTCTGTAAAGAACTTAGAATGAACTACTTTCGTTCTTTAAGTGGTTTATATTGTCTGAGAACAACTAGATATATTTAGTTTATATATGTTTATATTACTGCAGTAATCATTCTCTTATAGGACAAATATAGAATTCTATTCAGAAGGAAGTTCCATTAACTTCAGTGGAACTTATATCCAGATAACATAAGATTAAAGCCTTACTGAATAGTACATTGAACATTACAAATGACGGGTATGACAAATTGACTTGCTATTAAAATATATGCATACAATTTAGCTTGTACTTTTTGGAGCATTGATCACTTTATTTCACTGAAATATGCTAGAGTCAGTTTCTTTCAGGAAAAAATAAACTACATTAGTACACCTTTAAAATTAGCTTTCTTTACAGATTTAAAAATAAATGAAACAGCAAACTTTGATATTGCTGAGACAAAGGAGCCCACCTATATAAGTCTAAAGTTTGATTCTTTAATTTCTTTATGAAAATCCCTTTCTCTTCCTTCTCCTTACCTGTTTGTTTGTCTTCTTTAATGTGGTAATAGGTGAAGGGAGATATTTTTAAAAAATCTGCTTTTTACTAACAGCCACCCTATCTGGGGTGAAATAAATCTGGATGGCTGATAGATGGCAGCAAAGAGATATAGAAAGTTCTATGTCTTTGCTCTCATAGACTGTTTAACTGAATTTTTGCAGCTCAAATAAAATAGTTCTATTATTATGAAATATAACTGTTCAGGGATTTAAGTTAATGTAGTTTCTGTTCCTTCCTTAAGAAGGTAAAGTATTCTTCAAAACAACTGACAATTCATTTTATTTATATGTTGCCTTTATTATTTTTATAAATAACTCAGGTGGCGAACTTTGTCTTTCTAATCCTGTTTTCCCCACAACTACAGTCCTATGACTGTTGGGTTGGGCTGAGAGAAAGTCACTGGCCCAAGGTTATCCAGCTGGCTTTCTTGTCTAAGCCAGGACCAGAATTTACAGTCTCCTCCTTTGTAACCTAAAGCCTTAAGCACTAGACTAAACTGGCTATGTGAATACTGTACAAATATTTTTTAGATTGAAAACATGTAATTGGAAAGACAATGTATGGATTTATGGGTTCTTCCTATATGTCTTATATAATATTAATTAGTTTGTGCCGAATTTAATCATTTATGATACCTAAATTATAAAAATATTTTCTCCTTTTTAAATTTAATTGTATCCTATGTCAGTTCAACATATCACTCTTCTAAGGATGCTGCTAATAAAAATGCTACAACAGCAGAAAGAGGAAACCACATAGTACTGTAATTAAACAATGCAATTGCACAGTTATTCATAAAGGCCTAAAATGGAGATCATAAAATATACCTTCATTTAAATCAAAATTTCAATGTATCTTAAGGATACCAAACTGGGCATGGTCAATGTGGGCCTAACGATATATATCTATCTAATATTAAATAATTTTCATCTCCCTATCATTTATTGCATCTCAGAAAACTGAAGCATCAGCTGAAGAATTCAAGAGGATGTTATTAAGTACCTTCATTAAATCAATAAAAATAGCAAAACCAAGCATAGAACATTTTTAATTATAACTGTTATCTTTCAGTTCAAGTAATATAATAGTATCTTTTCCTGAAACAATGTGTTTTCAACTTTATAGGAAGCTTTCAAGATAGTATGAGGAAAACTACTAAACTATATGAGACCAATGAATATGCCTACATGACAGAATTGAATGTATTTCTCTGCAAAAAAAGGAAAATGCAGCAGAATGAACAAATACTTGTATTACCATAATGCTAAAAAATAAGGATTAAATTATGGTTTATTAAACAAGCCATAGTGTCTTAGTTTATGATTAATGCTTAATCATAATGGATCCGTTTACACAAGTATAGTCTCAGGTAAATAAGCTGTAATGTGCTTTAGCATGTTTGAGTAGTGTACTTTAGCATGTTTGTGAAATTGTCACCCAGTGTCACTGTACATATATAGCAGGAAATGGATAGACATACATGACCAATTCTACAATTTGCTCTAAAGGGTGCCAAAATGCAATCTGGTAAAATGTCTATATGTCTGTAAATACATTAACATGCATGAGCAGAAGTACTAATTATTAAAGTAGGCATAAAATTTTGGAATAAAATTTTGGAATACCATGCATCAATACAAGTTTATTTGCCACTTCTCTGTGTTTGTTGAGCTGCACTATACATAATACATATTGGGAAAAGTACCACTCTATGCCCATTTATGGGATAATAATAATAATAATAATAATAATAATAATAATAATAATAATAATAATAATAATAATAATAATAATAATACTTGCATATATGAGTATATATGTATGTATAAATGTACCCATCTAATCACATAGACTTTAGCTCAGAAAAAACTTGCTATAAATTTGTATTTTAAGAAATAGAAAAGACATTTTGATTTTCTTAGTGTAGTGTAATAAAATAACATAGAATCATATTGATTTCACTGATTCTTAAACAAACAAACAAATAAATAAATAAATTTTGTCAACCAAACTGATTTTATTGATTATATCAATGTTTATTCAAATTGGAAAAAATAGTAAACTTCCATTAATTTTTTATACTTAAAATATGTTACTTTTTGCTTCTAGGGGATACAAATTAGATTAGTAGAGCTAATTGTCTGATTAGTACCTATTTTCTTAATGACTTAGTTTTACATGTTCTAAACATGTAGCAGAATTATACCAATTTATTTTAAGTGGAAATTGCTTTAAAAACTAAACAAACTTCGCTTTCAAACAAAAATAGCAATTATTACTAACTGAACATGAGTCAGCAATGTGATGTGGCTGCAAAAATGCTGATTTGGGCACTGACGAAAAATAATTTATTTTAAAAGTAAACACAGTATGGTATTATATCAATAAAGGTTTCCAAATCCTATATTTTCATGCAACATTGCTCAGACCTCACCTAAATTATTTGTGTACAATTCTGGACACCTTTCTTAAAATTTAGACACACTGCAAAAAGTTCAGAGAAGGTCAAGGGATTGAAAATTAAGTCCTATGAAGACAGTTTGAAGAAACTGGAAATGTTTAACCTTGAAAAAGAGGGGGTGGGGAGAATATGATAATATCCTTCAAGTTATGAAGGATGTCACAGTGAGAAAAGCTCTCTATACTAGAGCACAAAGATAGGAAGAATGGATTTAATTGAATGCTAGATCAGAAAGTTCCTAAGAATGAGGGGATTTGACAGTGGAAACCATTATCTGGGTAGAAGTTGAGGTTAGCTTGTGTTTCCTAGATATATTCAAACAGAAGTTGGACATCCATCTTCCAATCATGCTTTCATTTAGAATCCTGATGAAGTTTAGATTCAGTTTGATGCTGTTAATGGACCCCACCCATTTTGTAATTCTTAACATGGAAGCCTAAATCAGAAAGTAAATAAAAATCTAATCCTTAAATATTGTTAAGCTAACAATTAAAGATTGTTAGCTTAATCTATGTTTAAATAATCTATCAAGGCAGGATTCGAAATATTGTGCACTCTGTTTAAGGTTAATAGAAATCCAATATTCAATATGCATTGTATTTCATTTTCCTATTTAATTTATTTTCTAGGAAAGGGATAATGACTAAACAGAAGCCAGAATTCATCAAATGTAAATTCTATTAAATTGTTCTAGGTTTAAGTAGACTTTTCTGACCAATGTTATTTTTCCTACTTTTAGAATGTAGGAAATATTGCAGGGAGTTTAATTAATAGCACAAGGGTTTTGTTTCTTTTTAACTTTTTAACTTTTTAAAACATCTTGTATTCCTTGCTTAGCAGCATCCCAAAATAGAAATAATGTAATATATATATTGCAATATAATACATCATTATAATATGGGTAAAGTTAACCAAATGTATGCATCACTTTATATTAGCATATGCTGAATATATTAGCATATGCTGAAGATAAATCCTTGGCAAAAGCAATCTGAATCTAAATGTCATTTAGAGAAGGAGAAGGAGAAAAGGCCTGAAATGGAGCTTCACATTCAAACCTTCAGTAAAATGGCTGTTGCTCGAACATGTTGATAGCTATTTTGTTCTGGTTTGACGTAATTAAGGTAAAAAAGCAGGAATAATATATTGTATGATTGTCAAAGATTAACTTCTAAACAAGGATGCAAAGTTTACTGTCTTAAAAATACCATATTTCTCTATTCACATTCTGTATCAGTTAAGTAACCCAATTCTTAAAATATTGACTCTATTCTCAAGCACAAATCAATTTTTAGGAACCTTTATGTTCATGAAGAATAAAACTTGAGATTGTAAGTTAAATTACATCTTAACATCTGCCACATAAATCATGCTTGTTTTATTATTAATATTGTATTAATGTATGAAAAACATTTTCCAATACTAGAAAGGCCCAACTCTGATTATTAAAATTAGTAATTTAATAGTAGCAAAACAATGAACCCAAAAGTTTACTACCATTTAGTTGCTTAAATGTAACCGAGTATTAAATTAACTAATTAAGCTTCCAGATTCACTTCCTTTTCAAAATATTTTATTGAAAGAAACAAAAGTTGGCTTTAAAATGTCATTTCAAAATTGTTAATATTCTTCATGGTATGATTATTTTGCTGAGTGGTAATGAACTTCTAATAATTACACTATTGCCTGAAAAGAGGTAGTAATATATAGAGTAAGTTAAAGTTATCAAGCACTTTATTTTTGGAAACATAGTCATAGGCCCAAATTTAAGGGCATAGAAAAATGAAGAAAAAAAAAGGTTCTTCTGTAAGGTGATGCTTTTAACTTCTAGGCTAATACATTACTGACCTTTAAGATGGCATTAAACAATCCAACTTAACAGATAAACAACTTTCTTTCCATAGAAGTCATTCTAAAAGCTGCAAAGAGCTGGCATCTCTTTGATAAGTGCTTTGTAAAAATGAGATTTCTCAAAATTGTAACTCCCATTTGGCTGATACAGAGTAATGTGAAAAACAACAGGATAAAGTTATGGGTTTCCTCTAAAGCAGGGTAGGAGAAATCTCTTCCTCCAAACATTCGCAGAGAACCGATACTGAGAAAAGTATCTGACCTGAGCTTTAGTTAAGGTGATTCACAAATGCGCTTTTATTCTTTGTTAATTCCCCATGAAATATTAGCTTTGACAGGGCAACAGAAAAAGTAAGTTAAGAATTAATTATAAAATATCTGTAAAATAAAATACCAATACCTTCCTTGCTGTTCGCCTTTTTCCTCCGTGTGCTAAGACCTCTTAGGCGAAGGCCGCCTTGGGACAGTTGCCTTTGGCGATTCTAGAAGGAAAAGGAGCCTTTTCAGCTGCAGCTTCCCAGACGCGCAAACGCACACCGCCTTTCCCCCCCCCGGCATCTTCCTCGCCGAAGGAAAACTGCAGAGGGACGGCGTTTTTGCCTCGGCGTTTCCGGCCGCTTGGGCTGGGACTTCAGCGTTGGAGAGAACCCGCAGATCTCGCCCATCCAGCGCGGCAGGTTGCACCGGCTGCGAGAGACCTCCTCGGGGCGCGGTGGGCGAGGGCAGAAGGAGGAGATGCGGGGCGCATCCGAGATCGCTCCTGGGCTCCTGCCTCGCCTTGCCTGTTCCGGAGAAGGGGCTGCGAGAGAAGTTCACGCCAACCCCCGGCTGACCATAAGGGCAAAAACAAAGGGCACTGAAGCCCGCGGAGGAAGAAGCCAAATCAATACTGTACAATCAGACTGTTAGGAAGGCGCGGAAATTTAAAAATGTTTGGACAGGAAGAGAAAGGGAAAAGAAACCGTAAAGGGGGAGGGACGCAGATGGGGACGAGAAGGGAAGCGCGGGGGGAGCGAAGTAACGGTTCTGAAGCTGCCTCTCTCCTCCCACTCGCGGCTTGGCTCTTAGGCGCGGACCCCGCATGGCCCCAGCCTTGGCTTTGGGCACCGCGGCGTACTGGAACCTCGGACGATTCCCAGCAGGAGAGGCACGAAGCGCCGCGAAGGAAAAGACGCGGCGCGGAGGCCAGGAACAGCTCCGACATTTTGAGCACCTCGCATCTGGGCCACGCTTCTTGCTCCCGGTCCTTGGAAGGATTGAAGGGGGGGGGACCTCCCTCTTCGCCCCCAGTTTTGTCCTGGGTCTGATTAGAGGTAGCCGGCTCAAAATTCACACGGATTCCCAGGGCAGGAAGCCAAATACAGGTTTAGGCTCCACGGGTGGCGGTGCTTGTTCTGGTGTGCCCGGGCAGCACCTTACCTGCGGCGCAGGGCATCCGGGGTGAGCTTGCTGCGGCAGCCAAATTACGCCTCCAGCTTCCCCGGAGGGAACGGCCAGGATCTAACAAACACGACTTAGGTGCTCTGGGTCGCTTTTAAATCCCCCCTCAAACTTTGTACTTCAGCAGCGAGCGCACCATTGGTAAAACCCATTCGGAACATGGGCGGGAAAGATCTAGAACGCTGGGACTCCTCTACCTCCCTACTTCCCTTCCTTCCCTCCCGTTAGTGTCTTCTAATATGTCATCTACCTTCTTCCACCTGAGTGATTTTCAGTGGCACTCACTTCTGACAAGTAAGTTGCTTCAGCTCTCCCGATGTTAATTTGGGAATAGCAAGTCTCACTGAGATGGTCCCAGGATCCAAGTCTCCAAGGCCAGGTTTCCAGTGGTCAAAGAAAGCGTCCTGAAAGTCAATAGCACTCCGTTCCTGGTGCTGGGCAACAAGACAGCGCAGGACTGGCAAACAGCAGAGCAGAGCTTGGGGAAAACTGATTATACTGAGCTCCCTTTCTGTTACCTGAGCATGGGCAGAGAGTGCCACCCGTCACAGGGACAGAAGTTGAGCTTTCTTCTGGGTAAACGGAGTCTAGTACGGCTCACCTGCCCCTCAGAAGTCAATTTGTCTGAAGATCTCACTACAAATGCGAGGTCGGTTTATTGAGCCCGAATTTTTAAGCCGTTGTTTGGAATTTCCACCCATTTTCAGTCTTGACCGGCTTCAAAGATGGGACTAGGTGTGGAGAATCCAAATATTAGTGCTCTGAGATTTTTAAAAAAGGATAACTCTTTGATTTGGACTCTGGGCGGAAGCTCTAGCGAAGCAGATTATGTCAGATTGGACGTTAATCTCAAACGTTCTTACCTATTAACAAGTCCCAGTGAAATAATGGTGTAACTGTCCATCTCTTAAGATCGATATTGCTCTTTAGCTATGTGGGTGCCAACTGAAAGATAGTTAAAGAGCATGGATAAATATATGGCTTTTTGAGAAAACTTCTGGTGTGATTGGTTTCCCACCTTCTGCATTATATTTAAGAGAAATAGATTTAATGCTATTTGCTACAACACTAAGAGTTCATATTAACCACATTAATTATGAAAAGCTTTTGAAAAAGAGAAAGAGCATTCCTGCCTCCTTTGGCCTGATACTGAGGATGTCATGCAAGTCATTTCTGAAACCACAAAGTTTCTTTTGTGTTGATAATTTGACTAACTTTTTGAGCCCATTATGAAACTCCATCATCTGCTAGAAGCTTGCCTATATATTTACTAGCTTTTCAGATATTAAAGCTTTTTTTAAAATTAAACCTCTCATGAGGGTGGGAGGAGCAGGTTCACCAGAAAGAAAATGTGAGGATTTGTTTTGTTTTACAGACAGCAAATTCCTTTAGATGCCAGTTTGTTTTTTAATATCTGGAAAAGGTTATGATTGGTTTAGTTTTTAACTGATCCTTCTGAAATCTCTGTTCAAGAAAGGAAAAGTTTCTACAATGCAGGAGAAATGCAGAGGGATGAAGTTGCCTGATACAATTTATGAACCCTTTTTAAAAAATTGAGCCAAATTGAAATTGACCAATATAGATGGATGTCACCTTCTTGAAAGTAACAATCTAAGACCTGAGTCACATAAAACATCAGTTCCTCAGTTTTTTATCTTCACAGCAACAGTTGAACTGGGACACACACCCCACTTTATGACACAGCTAATTCTTTGTGGAGGCGAATAGCAATGAATTCTCTCCACTGCAACAAACTGAAATTTTTAATCAGAAAACTATCGGGATGAGAGTGAGATTATTCTAAATAATTGATAAAAAGTTATATATTTTGTAATTTATTCCCATGCAAAATACATCTGTTTAATAGTCAGCTTTTCTACTCAGCAATCCTCAAATTCCAAGTAACAATGCAATTCCAGCCGCATCTGCTCAGAACTAAGCTCCCTTCACTCAGTTCAATCCCACATAGATACATAGAAAACTGCAACCTAAAACAATCCAACTTCACATTTTTGCTTCTGAGTGCCTATACTACACTGTAATACAGAAATTTATGGATTCTGTAAAAGAGGCTTTGATCAAAAATCCTAAGTCTTAACCACAGAAATAAATGCTTATTCTGGATTTATTCTACTGGAACAAATGTGAGTAAATAGTACTACTCTGGCAGTTTAATCTGAAAAAATTCTAGACCATTCCCAAAATCTGATCAAGTCACTAAATGCAATCTAATCTTATAAATTACTTTTTTTTTATCTTAAACTTGTGTTTGTGCAAATAGCCAAGATATCATATTCCCACACTGTGTGACTTTGGACTTGATAAATTCCTTCTTACTCTTTTTATTATTATATGTTATATTGAAGCTTCGCTATTCAAACTACTTCAAATTGAGATTTCTTCTCTGGTCAGATACACGTAGTGAATCAACTGAACCTTTGGTCCTAAACATGTTTAACTAGAAGAAAGCTAGATTTCAGCAGAACTTCCTTCAGAAAAAGAGATGCTTAGGAGGTAAGGCATGACAATAAAAATAGAAGAAAAATAACAATGAAAGCGCTTTTAGTGAATGTTCCATAGACCTTTTGTTAGCTTATCCATCTCATCAAATGTTTGTGATTCAATTGTCCAAAAGTCTCTTTTTTCCTCCCACTTCCCCTTCTGGCACAAAAGGTCTTTCACATATATACTCCTTCATGCACTGTTTCATATTATGTTAACCTCTGTTAGGCTAGTTGATGTTCAGGGATGGGAAATCACAGTAAGCCTTTATAGATCTTTTAAAAGAAAGTTATCAGAAAGCACAAAAACAGATATTTTCCCCCCAGCCTCCCTTAAATGAAGGGTGAGGTGAGCAGCAAAAGCAAACCGAGTTAAAAAAAAAGAAAAAGCATTCATAAAAGAAAGGCGAGAGCCCACCCAGTTTCTCGCTAATATCTGTGAAAAGCTGCTACTGGCATGATTTTTTCCCCCAGGAGGGAAAAATATCACCCCCATGTCTGCATTTGAAAAAAAGACCGACCCCACCTATTTGTATACTTTGATTAAGATGAAGAGAGAAAGAGAGGAAAGGAGAGGCGACAGGTGTACAAGCAGGCATTTTGGAGTCCGGACCAAGGGGTGGGTTTCAGTCCCCGCTGAGGGCGCCCTCCCTCCGCCTGCTGTTCTCCAGCAGTTTGACGATGGCCTGCCTCTTGTAGAGCTTCGCCAGGTCGTAGGCGGTGGCCCCCTTCTTGTTACGATGCTCCACCCGGCTGGCCGTGCGCTCCAGAAGGAAGGCCACGACGGCCAGGTGGCCCTCTTGGGCGGCCAAGTGCAGCGGCAGGTTGCCCTCGTTGTCTTCCACGTTCACGTCCGCTTGGAACTCCAGCAAAGTCTGCAGCGTGTCGAGGAAGCCGGCACGGGCCGCGTCGTGCAGGACAGCGAAGCCGGTGCGGTCTTTCAGATCCGGGTCGGCACCTCGCAGCAGCAACTGCCTGGCGATCTCCGGGTTCCCCAATTTCACCACCTGAAGGCAGAGGACGAGGAAGAGAAACGCGAGGCAGTGGGCAAATGTGCCCCATTCCCAAGGGTTGGGTTCACACACTTCACATGGGTATCCCCACTCTGCCTTACCTGCAGAGCCTTTGCTTGATTTGGCTTTGGGAAAACCCGTGGGAAAGTTCGCGCGGGAGCCTAGAGCCCTAGGGAAACGGGATGTCAACTTCTTCGGCATCCCAGGGCAGAGAATACAAGGCTGGTTCATTTGATTGGAAGGCTTTTTGGGATGACACCAGCAGTTGACTTCTATTTGGCATTTCTGGCCGCCTATTTGGTCCTCAACGTTAATGGCCCGTGGCTTCAGAGAGACCCCTCTCCCACTCCTGCTTTTAAAAGCCGAACTTAGGTCTCTTCTGCAATGGAGAAGCTATAATTGCCCAACCGGTAGGGCTGTGAAAATCACCCTACACCATATAGAAACAAATAGTGCCAAAATAAACAAACAAATTGAATGGTGGGAAATTGTATTTCCTGTTGTCCCATGATAGAAATGAAGAAAAAAAAATCAAGGCACAGGGTAAAAGGATGAGGTTCTTGGTTAAGGTAATAGATATGTAATGACACTGATGGGTTTGTCCTACTTTGATAGAAAGTAGTCTAAAATCCAAAGGGCCTATTTCCCAATTCTATAAAGGATAGAGGACCTACATGACTATTTCTAATTAAAGATGTGTCCACGTAAGGTGTGTAAAAATAAAGTCTGTGTTGTACCTTATTAGCAAATATACTGCATATGTAAGAAATAGCTCAATTTCTTCCCTTATTTAAGCCTTTCCAGTTGCAATTGAGAACAAATAAACAATACCATAAACAAAAGGACAGATAGTGGATTTAGAATATAATGTATTTTGCAAACCTGGATGGATCTAAAATCGTTCTTGGGGAAGGAAGTGCAAACAAACATGGAAAACTACCAGTAGTGAAATGAAAGAAGTAAGGGGGAAATTGAAGAATGCCACTATTAAAAACAAAGCTGTGTTGCTTCTGCACTTGCAAAGAACTGAAATGTAATCCTATTATGGTCACATTGTAAACTAATTGTAGATTACTCAGAGAACACATTTTAATCAATAAGACAGAGTATAAATTTCCTGTGTTCCTTATCTGTGGAGTAACCAGTCAAATGGGTTTATGTGTTTTTTTAAATATCTTAGTAAATTCAGAGGGTCTTAACTTCCAAGGAAATATACATGTAGGTTTGCAGTTTTAGTTTCATTTGGGATTGTTATATGAATGCAAATCAATACCTCTAAGTTTATTGCTTATGTTCAGTTTAAGTAGAAAGTTTTTAAAAGCTGTTGGCTTCCCTAAACATTCCCTTTCTATGTGAACGTTTTGCTATTATCACTAAAAAGCACATTTTCTTAAGAATCTCTACAGTTTCTGGTGAAAGAAAAAATGATATTAGTAACTCTATAACTTTTCTTATATTTTCATAGTTAAGATTGCCCATCTCAGAGACCCTTGGACTTTTTTGAATAGTTTAATCCTTGTGTCTGAATAGTTTAATCCTTGTGTCTGAAAAGCCACAGCCAAATATCATATACTGAAGTTTACACCTCGGTCAAGCTTTGTTACAGGGAACAGCTAGCTTTCAAAAATGATGTCTTCTTTTGCTTTCAGTATTTTTTTCTTCAGTCCTATTGTACCTACCCATTTATAAAATAATATTGCTGTGTGTTTTTTACTTTTTTTTCTTGCGAGGAATGCTGTCTTCTCTTTTAATATACAAAAGGGAAACAGTTACAGTAAACAAAACCGGAAAATCCATAAAACAAGAGGGAGTTATGTGAGAGAGCATATAAGGCTCAGAATATAGATCAACAGCCACAAAGATGATAGTTTACTAGGAGATAATCTCTTCCAATCACCTGCCCTCTTGTTTACCAATTTGGAATACAAATACTAGGAGTACAGTTAGCTTTTTGGAAACTAATATCGGCCATTATGATAAAATGAACATATACTCCTTAAACTTTTAAGATTTCGCCTTGTATCTCCTGTCAAATTCATAATTTGGGGTAAACACAAAACTCAGGATCAGGGTCCAAAACTGTGGAAGATAAAAGTTATCTATACTATACAAACTATGAGAAAAGTCTGGTTTTAAAGACAGTTTTAGATGTTTCTAAATGTTTTTTTTTTTCTGGTGTGGAATTCTTTTAACAAGGGAAGGATATAGATTGCATGCAAAGGCCTAAACCTAGGGATTCTTGGCCAGATTGAGAAAGGTAGCCTTCACATAAACACCTGATTTGTAAAAAGAAGGGGAAAAGGAAAAAAGAGGAAAAACATTCAGAGAAGAGATAGAAGGAAATGAGACCATAAAAGCCAATGTGTATTTTCACTTTCTTTGGTAAGCAACATTGACTATCAGCTCAAGTTCTATCATCCACCCACTAGATCTTTCTGGTTTATACATAATGAAAATAAGAATCAGCTTCTTTTGTTGTGTTTACTTTTATTCAGATGTGTGTGTGTGTGTGTAGTTTGCCTCAAATTATGATTAGTGATGAAGGTGCAATAAAAAGTAGTTGGTGGAAAAGACATGCCCCCAGCTGAGTAAGCAGGGATGTATCTCTGTAAATAATGAAATGGGGGGTGGGGGGGGTGCAGAATCATTGGTTCTCATTAAACAGTAAGAAAAAGAATTGGCTATTTAGTAAGGAAATTGAGGTTGCACTTCCTTTTTTACCACACCAATTCAATGATTGGTTCCAAACATGACCTACCTGTTATGGTGCAGAAAAACCTAAAAGGGTTCAAGGCATTTATGCTCCTTGAAAATTGAAAAATAATTTAGGATTACTAAACTGAATTTGAAAAGAACACCAAGAAAGGTCCTAGTACAGGTGGGTTTCTTTCCATTTTAAAGAGGAGATTGTGTTGCTGGAGTTTTCAGCCCTCACCCACAGGGACCCCTCTTCCAATATTTCAGAAAGTGGATCCTGTCTGTAGTTGAATCAACAAATTGCTTTTCTTTAAGGAGCCTGCTGAATATTCCGCAGTACTTCGGACCAGATCCAGGGTCTCGCATCGGAAAATCCTCCCAGATTTTCACCTACCTTTTTCTTCTCTGTCTGGTTGGGCACCCTTACCTCTCCCCCCCTCCCACGTAACACTTTCAGCACCGTTATCCAATGTTCTCAAAGGAAAACATCTTTCCGCGGGTGCAGGGTTTTAGTAGCTGGAAGAGCTCCAGCCGCCGCCTGTAAATCTAAACACTGGAAATGGGTGTAGACGGCGTTATATACCTACGGAAAGGAAATTCTCGTAGTGAAGCGATCCGCCGATATATCAAAAAGCACCCGAAGGATGGTGAATAACAAAGCATTGGATTTTCGTGATCCAGATCGTCACATTGCTTCGCCGAACATCGCAGTTATTCAGGGGCGATAGGTTTTTTTTGGGGGGGGGCATGCTCGCCAGAATGTGAGAAAAAAATAAGTCCCAACCGCCACCCTTTAGCAGCCAGACAACACCCCCTTTCAGATACTGAAACAGATATAATCCGGATTTCAAAAATGAGGTGTTTACCGACCTAGCCCGGATTGTTCCTTCCCTCCCCCTCTGCCTCCGCCACTTGCTTCCCTGTCTCAGAATTTTTTTTTTTAAAGACGAGGTGTCTTGCAGACAAGGTTTATCCCGAGATTAGAGAAACATTAAAACCAGGTTTTACTTAAAGTACGTCACTTTAAGGAGTTGGAGCGGTGAAACTTATAAAATATGGCAACCAACTCGCTTTTTAAAAAATGCTGATTTTTTTTTCCTCCCCTTTTTAAAACGGTCCTTTCCCCCGTCAAACCAGTTCACCTAGTGGCGAACGATCGCCTCTGTCCGCCCAGATACCAACCTGCAGCGCAGTCCTCCCAAATCCATTTTGTGCATTGACGTTTATATTATTTTCCAACAAATTAGTAACTTGCGCTAGGTCCCCTCTGGCAGCTGCGGACGCCAACTCATTCGCCAAAGGTTCGGCCATTCCTTAGGGCGAATGACGATCGCCAAACGAGCAGAAAACCTGAGCTTGTATTTGATTATCTTAAGGGTTGTTTTTAGCCGGGCATGGCCATCGGAAACTGACAGGAGCGGGGATGTTAATCTTCTGGAGTAGACCTTCTTGTAGTAAATACTCGTAAAAAAGCTGCTTGCCAGAAGCCCGCCCCTTGGTTCACACGTCATACATACTGCTGCAGCTCCGCTTGAAAAGCAGATATCTGCACCTCTAACGCGCACAACACCCGCCCCCCGCCGGACCTTGGCCGGGGCGCATAAATTGATTCAAGCCCTTCAGCGAGCAGAGCAGACACACTTGGGGTGGGGGAAGCTCAGTAAGGAAAGGGAGATGGGGAAAGCAAAGAACAAGGTGGAAGCGGAGAGGTGGAAGAAGAAGAAGAAGAAGTAGCGGAAGACACAACCCACCAGTTCTGTCCAGCCGAGACCCCGGGGCAGGCTTCTTTTGGAAGCCGCGGGTTCCGTTCCCGATATTGAGAGGCCGGGGCTTCGCTCTTGACCCCGCTGAGTCCGTTCTTCGCCCCCGAGTAGCAGCCTCCTGGACGGCCAACAATAGGAGCGAAGGGGTTAATCCAGTCTCGGTAGCCGGGGGGGATTAACCAGCCCCGGCCAGCTGCCCAACTCCACCAGGGATGCGGTGGGACTTCGGCGTTCCCATCCCGGGGCGGTGGGTGCGCGGCAGACCCAAAAGGCGCAAAGTCGGGGTTGGTTGAGGCGGATTGGCTGAGCCCGAGCAAGAGCCGGGAAGACCGGGCACATCAGCACACCCGCATCTTTCGGCGCGCTGGTGGTTGCGGCGCAGTTGCGGCTGCGGCAGCAACCGCTTCAGCTCTGCCGGGTCCCCTTTGCCTCCTTCCGCAGCCGATTTTCTGTAGCGCGAAGAGCAGCGGGCGGCTGCGCCTCTTTTGACAGGAGCCCGAAGGCGCAACCCCAGCCTGGCTAAAAGGCGCCAAAACAACTCTCCGACGCCTCCGCTCTCCTTTCCCCGCAGAGCGTCGGCGGCCGGTCCTGCGAACGTCTGGAAGCTGCCGTGGCTAGGTCAAGCCTGTTGAATTTTTTTTGTTTTTTTTACGGGCTGCCGCCTAGAAAGCCGGTTCCTCCTCCTCCTCCTCCAGTCCGCGGTCTCTCCCTCCTTTCCCCTCCCCGACGCCGTCTCCTCAGCTTTTTTTGAAAAGGAAAAACATTTTGAGCGCTCTTTGACTTGAAACGCCCGCCCACATTTTAACGGCAGAGATTTAAGGAGGCGCCACAGAGTTCCCGGCAAAAGCAGGAAGGCCTGGGCGGGAGGGCGAGTCCAAGCGAGCGCGCCTCCTCCTCCTCCTCGACTCTTTTCTTGCTGGGCTGACAATCGGCTCAGGCCGCGGAGCCGCCGTTCGGGGGCCAGCCCAGTAGGCCTTGCCGTCCTTTTTCCCCACCCTGTTACCCGGCCGGGCCTGAGGAGATAAGCTGGGGCAACGAGAGCCTCTATTTGCTCTTTTTAAGGAGGTCGCCTCCCCCTTTCTTCAATATTAGCCTCTTTTCAATATAGCCCGATAAGTTATCGGTGTCCCCCCCCACCGCCCCCCAACGCTAAAACTTCCACTGCCACCTCCTGGGCGCCCTCTACAATTGTGAAGTTGCAGGGCTCCTCGGTCCTCCCTTTGATACAAAAACACCCGAGACGCACGACGACACGTTTTTTTTACGCTACTTTCTAAGTGTGGGCGCCGCGGTTCTTAATTTGTTGACGCCAACTCTGCGGGCACCTCAGGAGAGTAAAGGAGGCGGGCCGAAAGTTAAGGCTACGTGTAGGGACCGCAGTGCCCTCTCGTGCATCGATGATCTCTTTCCCCGGAGTTGCATAGCTCGTTCGTCGGAGCTTTTTCTTAACTGGGCTTTACTCCGCTCCCCTGCCTAACGCGATCGAGGGATCTTGTTTGCCTGCCCCCCCCCCCCCCACAGCACAACAGATCAGATTGGCAGCAAGGTTAGGTAGCCAAAAGAGAAGGTTGGCTGGGCTGCAGGTTTCCCTGCAGGTTTTCTTTCTCTGGATCTGGTTACTAAGGAGACAGCCCAGACAAGGTCACGCTGAAGGGTCAATGTCAGCTTGCTGTAACTGTAGCAAATGAAAAACTTTCTCTTCTTTACCCCCACCCCCAACCCATTGCACTAATTTTTACTGCACCTTGGGCAAAAAGGGAGAAAGATGGTTGTGACATTTTAAAATATCGCCGTGGGAAAAATCAGGAGCATAAACACTATTGTGCGCAGGAACTAGTATTGTGTTCTTAAAATGTTGAAGAGTTGACATGAAACAAATGAGTGAATACTCGAGTCCATGAGTAAATTCTGAACAGATTCTCCACTCAGGAAAAGGTGTTGTGTCAGTAAACTTAAACCATACCTAGTTTATATCAAGAATAAATCAACAACTTAATATACTGAATTATTGTGTCCTTGGATTCATCTATCTAAGATGCAGCATTCTTTGTTTCATTGGGTTTAATGGACCACATGAAATAGCCAATGGTTGGTCAATCAAAATTGTGGCTTAATGTTTAAAACCCAAGCCAGTCAATAATGGTTTACCCAACAAACAATGGGTAAACCATGCATATTGGGCTAGACAAGAAAAACAGTTTATGACAAATTTGCAACTACTTATCTAGCCCATGTTTTTTAGATGAAGAGAAGAGAATAATTTATTTATTGGCCAAGTGTGATTGGACACAAAAGGATATTTTTCCTTTGGTGCATATGCTCTCTGTACATAAAAGAAAAAAAATACATTCATCAAGAATCATAAGAAACAACACTTAGTGATAGTCATAGGGAACAAATAAGCAATCAAATCATACTAGGAAACAAATAAAACAATATAAATCGTAAATATAGAAGCAACATGGTTATAGTCATAAGTGGGAGGAGATAGGTAATAGGAAGGATGAGAATAATAATAGTAATAGTAAATAATTTGACAGTGTTTTGGGAATTAGTTGTAAGCAGACTAATGGCACTTGGAGAAAAACTGTCCTTGTGTCTAGTTGTTCTGGTGTGCAGTGCCCTATAGCGTCATTTTGAAGGTATAAGTTGAAACAATTTATGTCCAGGATATGAGAGGTCTAGATATTTTACAGCCCTTTTTTTGACTCGTGCAGTATACAGGTCCTCAATGGAAGGCAGGTTGGTAGCAATTATATTTTCTGCAGTTCTGATTATCTGTTGAAGTCTGTGTCTGTCTTGTTTGGTTGCAGAGCCAAACCAGACAGTTATAGAGGTGCAGATGACAGACTCAGTAATTCCTCTGTAGAACTGAATCAGCAGCTCCTTGAGCAGTTTGAGCTTTCTGAGTTGATGCAGAAAGAACATTGTTTGTTGTGCTTTTTTGTTGACATTTTTTATGTTAGGTGCCATTTTAAGTCTTGAGATATGATAGAATCTAGAAACCTGAAGGTCTCTGTTGATACTGTGTTATCTAGTATTGTAAGAGGTGGTAGTATAGGAGGATTTCTTGTAAAACTGTGATGGTGAACCTATGGCACGCGTGCCGGAAGTGGCACGCAGAGCCATCTCTCCGGGTACGTGAGCCGTCGCCCGTTGCTCTTCAGGGTTCCGGCCAGATGGTCTTCACACACACGGGAGCGCTGGAAACCAGAAGAGCGGCCTCTGGGTGCGCGTGCTGGGAAGATGATCTTCCAGTTTCTGGTGTGCGCATGTGCACCGGCCAGCTGGTGTTTGCACGTGCATGCACACTAGAAACTGGAAGATCAGATGGCCGGTGCATATGCATGCACCGGAAACCAGAAGATCATCTTCCCAGTGCACACAAACGCACCAGGCTGCTGCTCTTCCGGTTTCTGGCATGTGCGCACGCACCCACGTTTCGGCACTCGGTGCCAAAAAAGTTTGCCAACACTGTCCTAAAATCTACCACCATTTCTACGGTTTTGAGTGTGTTTAATTCAAGATTGTTCCGGTTGCACCACAAGGCTAGTTAATCAACCTCCCGTCTGTATGTAGATTTGTCGTTGTCTCGCATAAGACCAATCACTGTTGTAACATCTGCAAACTTCAGTACTTGAATGAGATGGATGCATCAAAAATCTGAAATGCAAGACACAACTAAGCAAGACTAAGTGTATTTTAAATATATATATTTACTTTATTTTTATCCCATTTTCATTATTGTTTGTGAAGAACTCAAGGTTGGAAATGTACCTGAAACTCTTTCCTCCTCCTATTTTCCCCCCCACAACAACCCTGTGAGGTGAGTTGCCTGAGAGAGACTACTGACCCAAAGTCACCCAGATGGTTTTTCTTGCCTAAAGTGGAACTAGGATGACATGACTACAATTCACAATTTTAGTGACATCCCCTCCATTGACTCTGTTGGAAGCTAGCTGTGAAGGATGCAAATTGTGATCAAATGACTGGAGGAAACTGTGATGGTTGTATGTGCAAGGACCAGGGCCGGATTTTCCTATAGGCTAACTAGGCTTCAGCCTAGGGCCTCAAGATCAAGAGGGGCCTACATTCAAATTGTTAGCAAAATTAAAATTACACTTTCACTATAGGTGAAAGGGCCTCATAAGTGGAATAGCCTAGGGCCTCTTTTCATCTAAATCCGGCCCTGGCAAGGACCAGTCATTAAATTACTTTTTCAGCACTGCAATAACTTTGAACAGTTCCTAAACAGGACAGAAATTAAGCAAGGACCACCTGTATTCTGTAAATATCAGCAATTATTTCATGAATGACAAGGTATTGTCACAGCTAATTTCACACATTGTACTATGCCAGGGCTATTAACTAGTTTATTAAACAGTGGCCTGTTTAGTGGTATGGATAAAATATCACAATGCTGTCAAAATTATTATGTGCATAAAGATGTCAACTATGTCACAAGTTCTGATGCAAGTACTGTATATAAGTCAACATGTCTGATTATGCAATTGCATGTTATCATTTGTCCCCTTTGCTTATGCTCGTGATCATGTTAGTGATGAAGCAGAGATTGCCTTAAGTTTAGCTAATAGAATTGGCTGACAGACAAAAACAGTGATATTCTACTGTAAGAGCAAGTTGAATTCCCTGCAGTAAGTTACTGTGCCACATTTAGTAGGATCTCTTGAATTTCCACTCATATAATGTAGTTTACCTTGCTAATACTAGAACAATTAACTACAAAAAATGTTTGTATGGTGTCCACACTCCTACCTGCTTTAATCAAAATGATGAAGACTGCATTGTACTATACTGTAAGCTCCACAGTTTTGATCGTATTCTTTATGTTACATCACAACATGCGTATACAAAAGGCAAGGCCTGCAATGTCACAGTGCAATGCTGTTTTTGTTGGACTGATTAGTTTGACACATGTAAACAGAATAAAAGAGTTGG